ACCAAGGGGTGTAGGTTAGTAGTGACCAGATGTTTCCAGACAGCCATATAGTGGACTTGGTCAGGATGTCCATGGGCTTTCCCACAATCTCTTTCCACTGTCCGGATGGTATCTAAATGTAAGGTTCCCTCTGGCAGCCAACCTATGTTGAAAGTCGGCCATTCGGCATTGCAGAAGACAAACATTGTTCCCCTTTTACCGTCCAATGAAAGGTTGAAAGCCCTAACCCTAACTTCCTTGAAGTGAGCCAGAACCAGGTCCAGGGGGGTTGAGGGAGTCTGTCCCATAGTGTCAGTCACAGTCATGTAAAGGATTACACAAAAGGCAGAGACAAAAGACAGGAGACCAAGAATTCAACCAATCCGCGATCAGAGGCAAAACGGAAACCAAAAATTCAGTGGTGACTGGGAGTGGGAAGGTAACCTTCCCAGTGTCACAAGCAGCCAAACGTGAGGTTCTCCGTCCTCTCCTGTGGGCACCTCATCCCCTGTGAGGGCCCTGAAACCTCTTCCAGGGTCTCATGACCACAACTTTCCAGCGTGTCTACCCTTAGCCATTTCTGGCCACTTTATTGAGTTGCCTTGAGGCAGAAAATGAAAATACAAGAGAATGAATGACAGACAATACAGAAGAATGTAAAACTCACCGGCAGGTTCTGGACCCTCGGGGGGGGGGGGGTGTCCTGGGGGATCCCGGACAAGATCCCAAATGTTATGCCCAGATTGCGACACCCCCCCCCGCCCCGCAAAGACCACCGATTCCGATGCAAACACAGAAGGGTCTTTTACTGCAAGCTCAAGCTTGTGCCACAAACTGTTCCTGTCGTGGCAGGTTAGGAGAGTGGTCCTTAAGTCTAGGGAGCAGAGCTTTTAAAGTAAAACTACAAGCAGGGAATTCCAAGCCTTGGCATTGCAGGATTGGATAGGGGTTGGGCAAGCGAGGTGACCTTCACTGCTATTGCTGGGTGCCATCTAGCAGACTAGCTGAGGGAAGTAAGCGTATCTACAGAAACATGTGGTCCATTTGGCAGTTACGTTCGTACATCCCGTGGTTTTACCTGGAACTGGTTGGGTGGAGGGTCACCCCTGGATCAGTACCTTTAACAAAATGGAACCCTAATTCAAAATGGAGTTTGCTTGGCCCTTACTTCACAATGCAACTTTGGCTGACCTGGAACTCATTCAGCAGTCCAGGGTGGCCTTGAGCTCAGAGATCCACGTGCCTCTGCCTCCAACTGGGAGGCAGTTGGGGATTAAAAGCATGCATCAACATGTCCAGCAGTTTCTTTAATTTGTGAGCAAAATGTTGGAGGTTGGTCTGATGCATGTTACTGGCCCTCAAGATCTGGTTACACCTACCCTTTGTAAACGTGCCTAAGACATACTTGATTGGTTGATTAAACAGCCTCTACCTGGGCAGGGCAGAATGGGGTAGGTGTGGCTAAGGTTCCTTGGCTTTTGGGTTCAAGAGAGAATCACCAAAGATGGATGGGAAGAGAGAAGGAAGAAGGACACCTAGATGGACTAGTGTGGAGAAAAAAACGTGGGCCAAGAGAAAAGACTACAATAATGGCATGAAAAGGCTCAGATGAGGCTGGAGAGATGGTTCAGTAGTTAAGTGCACTGCCTGTTCTTCCAGAGGACCTGAGTTCAATTCCCAGCAACCACATGGTGATTCTTCAACCATCTATGCTGGAATCTGATGCCCTCTTCTGGTGTACAAGTGTACATGATGATAGAGCACTCATACTTTAAATAAAATCTTTAAAAAATATATAAAGCATCACTCTTAACTTTGGGCCGGAGAGATGGCTCAGAGATTAAGAGCACTCGCTGTTCTTTCAAAAGGTCCTGAGTTCAGTTCCCAGCAACCACATGGTGGCTCATCTCATAACCATCTATTGGAAGATCTGGTGTACAGGCAGAATGTTGTATAAATAATAAAAGAAAAGGCCCAGATGAAGAACACAAGCAAGTACCATGGGATAATGAATGGAAGGTAGTCCAGATGAAGAGGGGCTGGGAGACGGTGAGGATACTGAGGCAGTGTAAGTGAAATATCTGCCTGGCCCAAGGTAAATAAGGCAATTATAAATCTAACAGGTGTCTGCATCTTATTTGTGATTGTGGGCTAAACAATACCGCCACGATAATCATAGAGCTAATAATAAACATTAACTAGCCCAACATTCATTTCTTCTATTACAATAGAAAGAGGAGGAAGGGTTTCTTGTCACAGTAATAGATGTATGTATCCACACTCTGTATACAGTGTTGGGTTTCAAATTCACGTTTGCTAGAGAAGAAAGCATTTGCCAAAACTAGGTTGGAGAGCCGGGTATGACAGAGCATACATGCGGTCCTAGCCCTCAGGAAGCTGAAGTTATAAGCCCAAGGATTCCAGACTAGACAGGACAACATACAAGACACCCCAATCTCATTAAAAAGAGAGAAAGAGAGAGGATGGGGAGAATAATAACTTACGTTCAGGCACAGTGATTCAGATGTGTAGCACTATTTGGGAATCTGAAACAGGAAAATCCTTGAACTCGGGAGTTTTGACACCAGCCTGGGTAACAGAGAGACTTTGTCACAAACCAAACCCCAGTTGGAATGTTTCCTTGTCAAAATTACCAACAAGTCTGGCCAAAGCTGCTTCTAGGCTGAACAGTAGTAGAGCTGAAAATAAACTCACGGCAGCCCCCTCTGGCTTGGGGCACATAGATCACACCATTGTATCCCAGAAAGGGAAGGTAGATGTTTGAATTTTCCAGAGCTTTTCTGTGAAGAAAAATCTCAGTCTTTAGCTTCATCATGCAGCTACTTTAAAAATATTAACCCAGAGCCAGGCGTGGTGGTGCACACCTGTAGTCCCAGTACTGGGGAGGCAGAGGCAGGCGGATCTCTGTGAGTTCAAGGCCAGCCTTGAACTACAAAGTGAGTTCAGGACAGCCAAGGCTACAGAGAAACCCTATCGCCAAAAAGAAAAAAAAATTAACCCAGAGTGAAAACGTCTGGTATAAAGATGTACACATCTTTATTATTTACAGAGAAGACTGACTTGGTAACTGTCAAATTCCCGGTATACTCAGGGAATGTGTTTATGTGAAACCCTGACAGAGCCAGCTCCTCTCACCTTGACCCTGTACCCTTCCAGCAGGGAGACTCCAGACCTGTCAGCCAGCCTTCACTTGGCCCTGCTGCAGGCCATGGGGACAAGCCACTCACCTGAGCCACTCACCCAGGGACACTGGCCTAGCAGGCTGCCACTGGTGGAATCTGTGGAGAGTTCTGTGGGCTTGTGCCTGTCCACCAGCGGTTCCAGCCCCAAAGAAAAAAACCTGGCTACCAGATCTTGCGGCACATGCCTAGAACGAGATCCGGCTCAGCAGCTAAGAGCTGCATCACATCCCCAGGATCGCCTTGCTTCCCTCCATCCTCACCTATCTGAGGGTCCTAAAATTCTTGAATAACCAGGTGGCCAAAGGCCTAGTAGGTTTTTACCTTTCTTACTCAGGATTTTCCCATTTCCTTTATTCTTTCAAGAGTCTGTGGACGGAGTATGACTTGGGCCAAGAAATTGCTCTGACCAACTCTCTGGGCCTTGGTTTCTCTATCGATTAAAGGAAGGATACTGTGCAATGTCAGTGATAAAAATTTTAGATGGAACTAGCATGGCCATCTTAGTTCAAAGCGTTTTCAGGCAGGCCTGTCTTCCACAAAACCCGGGCACACCTCAAGAGGCATTTAGTCAGCATCCTGATCGGCTTGGAACTTTCTGGGAGTTCAACTTTAGTTCCCAAAGTGCAATGCAAAACAAAAGCTGTGCCTGACGTAGCAATGACAACTATATCCCCGTCTCTTAAGAACAGCTAAAGCAGGTGTACCACTCTAAGTCTGACCCAAGACCCACGCTCGACAGTAAAATAATGATTATAAAATAACAGCATTGAAAAAGAAAAAAAAAAAAAAAAAAAAAAAAAAAGCAAAACCAAAGACTGTTCCAACGCTGTTGGTATTAACACCGAGTCTTACGTTCTCGGGCCTGTATGACTACTAACAGAGAAAAGGCCTCTGTGAGCTGAAGTTGGGCTATGCCACTAACGCAGAGAACAAGGTCAGGGAGCCTGGAGACAAGGAAAACCTGAGGAAAAAGACACCAGCCTGGACCGCTGGAAGCACCTAGATTCACCTGCCGTCTCCATGTGGGGTAGCCACCAAGGCAAAGAAAGGCTCGGGCTCCATCATCAGAGGCACCTGGGCCAAAGGTCACTGGCAAATGTGTTAAGAGTCAAGGCCCGGCGAGTAACTGCGGACACCTCCAAAGTGCGGCGCGCTGCCCGCCTTACCCACGCTTCCAGGGCGCAGCCTGTACTCACCCGTGGCTAGGACCTAGGCTTGGTGTTTTCCCCGAAGCGGCCTCCTCCGCGACCCTAAGGGCTGACAAAAACAACAGGTCCCTCAGCACCTGGGAGTCAAGTCTCCGGACCTACCGAGCCTCAGTTTCCCTCAGCTCCACGCGAGCAAGAACCCAGAGGCGAACTTACACAGGTCCGGAGGCTGGCACCCTTTGTGCTCCGGGACCGCCCCTGCACGAGGCGCACACAGTAGGCGCTCCGGAAACACCCTCCGAGAGGAGCAGCGGGCCACTTCCTGCCCTCGAGCTGACTCCGGGAGCCCCGGCCCCGCCGCCCCGCCCCCGGCCCGGGCCATGCGGCATTCCTAAGGTGGGTGGGCGCAGGAAGGAGGTGCCGCGGGCCCGCCCCCTCCGGCGCGTGGGCGGGGCGAAGCCCCCCTGCTCCGCGGGCCCGCCCCCGAGGGTGGGCGTAGCTGGCCACGCTCCGCACAAAGTTTGTTTCTGCCTCGGGGCGGTGGGGGAGGGGGCGGCGGGCGCGCCGGGAGGAGAGGGGATCTGACGTCAGGTCGCGAGGTGCTTTCCAGCCGCGAGCTGTCAGGCGGGTGTCAGACCCGGCAGGTACGCGGCGCGCTCCCCCGGCGCCCCCCGTCCCGGACGGGCCGTCCCGCACCCCGCCGAGGCCGCGTGGGCCGGAAAGCCGCCGGCAGAGGTGAGTGCGGGACCCCGGGGGGCCTGGAGACGCGAGGGGGAGCCGCGCGGACAACTTAAAAAGTTTCTTGGGGCGGGGGAGGGGGCGTCGTCCCGGCGCGTGCGACAGTGGGTGTGTGAGCCCGTGTGTGTGTGTGTGTGTGTGTGTGTGTGAGAGAGAGAGAGGCCGGAGCGCGGAGCGCTGGCGCGGGATGTCGGGGGGGGGTCCCGTTCGGGGTCCTTGGCGGGAGGGGGGTCCCCCAGAGCCCAGCCTGGGAGAGGGCGGCCGCTGCCCCGCAGCGGGGTGAGCGCGCGGGGAGCGGGTTTGTTTGGTTTCAAAAGTGCACGTTGCTAACCGCCGGCAGCCCCCCCACCGGCACAGCGGCCGAGCGGGGCCGGGGGCCGCCGAGTGACAGCTGGAGGTGGGGGCCGCGGGCGGGGCCCCGACGGGGAGGGCTTGGGAGCCCGCGCGAGTTCCCCTTTCCTTTGGAACAAAGGAAAGTCTGTCTCGGAGGCATCTGTCACTCCCGGGCGGGCCAAGGCTGTGGGGCGCGTGGGGCCGGCGACGCGGAGAAAGTTTGTGCGCGCCGGGCCCCCGGGGCCGGGCGAGGGGCGGCCGAGCGGCCCGCGGGGGCCGTGCGCGTCGCCGATGCAGGGGGGCGGCCAACATGGAGTCCGGGCGCAGAGCTGGGGTGGGGGAGCGGTGCGGAGGTTGGAGCCCAGCCCCCTCCCTTCCCCTCCCCCTCCGGGCCGAGTTCGAAGCACAAAGCCGAGCGCGCACGCTCGGGCGGCCCCGCGCCCCAAGAGTCAGCCCGCTCTGAGGACCGGGGAAGTGCTTGGGAACTAAACTTTTTCCTGTCTCGGAATGGACACGTGAGTTTTCTTTCTTGCAGAGTTCACCCCGCCAGCCCCCGGCGGCGGGGAGCGGGCCTGCAGGGGAGCTGTTGCGCGTACGGTGCCTCGGGTGGGGGCCGGGGGGTGAGGGTGCCCTGAGAGCCGGCCGATTCGTCGGCGCCCCGTGAGCCATGTGCTCCGCTACGTCTGGGCCGCGGGGGGGGGGAGGCTGCGCGCTTTGTGTGAACTGCTGGGAACTCCGGCCCCCATGTGCGGCGCGGGGGAGCGTCTCTGGAGCTGGGAGAGTTGTCAGAAAGTTCCTGTGGGAGTGGCTGCAGATGGCGTGGTGGGAGTGTGAGGAGATTGCCTGGGGTGAGGTGTCCAAGGGGTGCCTCCAGGAACCCGGTTCGTGTGAAGGCTGATGGATGGCGGCTGTGATGACGTGCGTGCTCCTCGGTCGGAGAGAACGTGGGTGGGCAGGTCACTTGGAGTTCGTGGGTGGGCGGGTGCAGGAGTTAGTCTCCTGGGTCGTTGTAGTCGTTAGTCTTAGGTGTGGGGTGGAAAGCTGTGTGTGTGTGTATGCGTGTGTGTGTGTGTGTGTGTGTGTGTGTGTGTTTGTTTGTAAAACTCGAGGAACTTGTGTGATGTCAGCAGCAGGTCGGGTAGGTGATCTTAGCTCGGTTCGGCTTTCCTGGGGGATATCGAGGTATTCCTGAGAGGCGTGTGTGAGAGACCTGCAGGCCAGGCCTGGGGTGCAAGACCCAGAGGCGGAGGACGTCCCTGCCGAGGGCTCCTCCTTGGCCCCACACCGGGAACTCTGAAGACTGGGTTCTGGCTGGCAGCCAGGGTGGAATTTAGAAAGATAACCTGCAGTAAACTTACTGCCGGGGCTGCCTCCCAGAGCTGGTGTCCCAGCTGTCCCGGTGGCTGAAATGTCTGCCCTCAGAAGCCCCATTTGTGATTCTCACTCTGAGGAAACAGAACCTCAGAGCGGTGCCTGTTTCACCTCCAGGTGGCCTGGCTGAAGGTAGACCCTTCCCTCGAAAGTCTGGCTTAGCCAGCTCAGAGATCTGGGCTCAGGCCCAAGGCCTGCAAACAAAACCTGGGAGATGCCAGAGTCTGTTGGCTAGGCCTGCTGGGGAGCTGTTAAAAGGCAGGGAAGGGAGGAGCCTGCAGAGTCTGGCACAGCCTTGGCCTAGAACTTGTGCTTTTAAAATGTAAATTTCTTTTGCTTTTGTGAACAGGAACTTTGCTGCAGGAGGAGCAGCTGGTAGGAGTTACCTAGGCAGAGACCTTCCTTCATTGACTGGGAAGGGAGGGCTTCGAGTTCAGAGCTAGCGGCATACAGCCCGGTGGGAGTTACAGCAGGGACCAAAGCCACACTTCGTTGGTCTGGATTCTGAGATTGAGTCTGGGACCAGGTCAGAGGCTGGACCAAGGAAGAAGGTGTAAAACAACCGTAGGGCTGATTCAGTTGTCCCGGCACTACACGCTGGCTGCCGACCACAGCGAGCAGTTTCCAGACCTACCTCTGGGCCTTGGAAGGAAAACTACCCCAATCCTACTTTATAATGAATGCTAAGAGATGGGACTCTCTTCCCCTTTTTTACGATTTTTTTTTTTTAATGTGTATGAGTGTTTTGCCTTCATGTATGTTGGTGCACCTCAGAGGTCAGGAGACGGCATCCGATCCCTTGGATTTATGGGTGGTTGTGTTCCTCCACGTGGGTCTCCAACCCTGGGAATGCAACCCAGGTCTCCTGTAAGAGCAGCAGATGCTCGTAAGTGCTGAGCCACCTCTCCAGCTCCAGAAATTCACTTTTAAAGTAAGAGCAGATTTGGGGGGCGGGGGGTCAGGCTGGAGAACCGGCTCAGTGGTTTCAGAGCACCTGTTGTTGCGGAGCCTGGGTTCCATTCCCAGCATAGACACAGGGCTCACACTGTCAGTACCTTCAATTTCAGAGGAGCTGCCTCCCTCTTCTAGGTTCCCAGGGATATATTGTGCGCAGACATGTTAGGCAGAACATCTATAGGCATAAAATAAAATCATGGGAAGGAGGGGGAGAGAAGGGATTTGATGGGAGGGGAAAGAATAAAAAGAAAATAGGAAAATACTTTGATCAAAGAATATCATAAAATTTTGAAGTAAATAAATAAAACAAAGGCCAGTATCCTTCTATCCTCCCCACCCCTAATTAACTGCTGACCAGCTCTCTGTAGAGCAGCCTGTGGTGGGCATTCCGTAATACATGGTGACATAGGGTCCTTTGATGACTTGGCCTCTTTTCCTTTAGCGTTACTCAAGGTCCATCGTGTCACAGCAAGCATCGGAAGTGTGCCCTCCCCTTTTTAATGTGTTCATTTTGTTTTCTGTGTAGGAATGTTTTGCCCGCATGTATATATACACAGCACATGGGTGCCCGTGGGAGCCCCCAAAAGGCATTGGATTCCCTGGAACTGCAGTTAGAGATGGTTGTGAGCTCCCATGTCGGTGCTGGGAAGTGAACCAGGTCTCCTGGAAGAGCAGCCCGTGCTCTTAACCCCTTAGCCTCTCAAACCCAACTGTACTCCTTCTTATGACCAAATGACTCGTTTACTTAGCTGTGTGTTGAAGGTCTCTTGATGGTGTCCACCTTTTGGCTGCTGTGAGCATTTGTGCATAGGTGGCGGGGCACCAGGTGTATGTTTCTCTTGAGTAGCCGCTGGTGGTGAGCTGGCGAGTTTCTCCTTTCCAGGGGCTTTCACGTGAGTTAAATGAGGTAATAGGACAGCCTGGAAAACAGAATTCAAGCTGGGCACTGACGCTGGGGAGGCAGAGGCCGGAGGATCGTGGTTTCAAGATCTGCCTGGGCTATATCGTTCTTTGTAGTCCTGTTCTGTTTTTAAAAGAAGTGTCACCCATGTTTCAGTAGTCCCTCTCTGTTCCATGAACTGGTGGAGTTTAGGATTCATCCATCTAGCTCGCTCAGGTTCAACTGATTTGGAACTGTGACTCCTGTTTGTGATGGTGAACTCACTAGGAGACCAACGAAGAGGGGCATGAAGTGCTAATGTTCTCCCCATCTTTTTGTCACTTGCCCCAGGGTCCCCAGAGGTCCAGCCTAGCCCCTCCGCACCATGTCAGACAGCGACCTAGGTGAGGATGAAGGCCTCCTGTCACTGGCCGGTAAGAGGAAGCGCAGGGGCAACCTGCCCAAGGAGTCGGTGAAGATCCTCCGCGATTGGCTGTACGCGCACCGCTACAACGCCTACCCTTCTGAGCAGGAGAAGCTCAGCCTCTCGGGGCAGACCAACCTCTCAGTGCTGCAGGTAAGCGGGGACCGGCACCAGCCTCCGGCCCTGTCCCTGCCTCCCCGTGGCCAGGGCCGGGATGAGAGGAGAAACCTTTCCCTTCTGGCCCCAACGGAAGACAGTGAAATGAGGTCACTGCAGCTGCCCTTGAGGCTCCGGCACCTGTGAGTGGATGAGGCATTATTAGTGTCTCTGTTGCTGACCTTGAAGGTGAGAAGGCAGAGTAGCTGAGGTTCAGGGGTGCAGCTCCATCGGAACAAGACTTGGTTGCAGGACAGCTGGGTTCTGCAGTGTGGTTAGAAAAATAAGTTGAAGGGACTGAGGAGGTGACCAGGAGTTGAGAGCACTTCCTGCTCTTCCCATGGGATCCATGTTTAGTTCTCTGTGCCCATATCAGGCAGCTCAGAATCTCTGTAACCCCAGCTCCAGCAGATCCAAGGGCCTCTTGCCTCTGCAGGTGCACATACACCCACGAGTAGTTTCTTTTTAAATTTATTTATTCTGTATACAATGTGTTGTCTGTATGTATACTTGCACACCAGAAGAAGGCACTAGTTCTCATTATAGATGGTTGTGAGCCACCATGTGGTTTCTGGGAATTGAACTCAGGACCTCTGAAAGAGCAGCGGTGCTCTTAACCTCTGAGCCATCTCTCCGGCCCGTATTTTTTTTTTTTTTTTTTTTAAGTTACTTAATGAGGGGCTGGAGAGATGGCTCAGTGGTTAAGAGCACTGTCTGATCTTCCAAAGGACCCCGGTTCAATTCCCAGCACCCACATGGCAGCTCACAACTGTTTATAACGCCAATTCCAAGGGACCTGACACCTTCACACTAATGCACATTTAAAAAAAAAATTGAGTTAGAAACCTGGGCATGGTGGCGCATGCCTGTGATCCCAGCACCCGGGGAGGTAGAGGCAGGCGGCTCTCTGTGAGTTGGAGGACAGCCTGGTCTACAAAATGAGTCCAGGTCAGCCAAGACACTACACAGGGAAACCCCGTCTTGAAAAAAACCAACCAATGAACAAACAAAAATGTAGCTAGAGATAAACAAGTTGGTACACACCTGCGATCCCAGCCCTCTGAGGGGGGTTGGCCACACATTCTTCTGGGCCGGGAACTGTCGTGAGGAGCACGTTTTGAACTGGACATAGAAGGTCCTTTGTGAGCCGCGTACAGGGCACACTTGAGGTGCTTGCTCTCCAAGTCCCGTCCCTCTTCACTTGTCCTGTCAAGTGGCAGGAGCGTGCTGCTTCCATGATGCTGACCCCCAGTACTCTGGGCTTCCTTTGGCCGTTACCCCCGACCCCTTTACAGATTTATGCAGAAGGCCCTCAGCCTAGACCAGAGACTTGCCCCTGTCTTGCTGGCCTCACTACTCCTTTCGTGACCCAATAGGCCTCCTCCTGCTGTCTCCTCTGTCCTTCCTCCCATTTCTACCACAGGCCGGCTCCTTCCTTCCTTCCCTTCCCTCACCTGATCCGGCCACTTCCCAGGCTTCCCACCTCTTGTTCCTGCTTCCAGGAAGGATGAGGTAAGTAGCCAGCCTATAAAATCCCTGTGACCTAGCTTCTGTCCTTTAGGAGGTGGTTAACCCAAGTCTTGAGACAGGGTATAGACTCAAATTACAAGACCTGGTTGGCACTCCCCCCCCCACACCCGCCACAAGAGGACTCTGGACTTCAGCCAAGCTGCTGCTGTCTCTCTGAGCCTCATTATTTCATCAGCTGACATGGGAAGAAGGTTTAGCGCATTCTCAAGAATTCAGACACGTTTGGGGTGCTTGTCTTCTGTTCTTCTTGTTCTCCTCCTCCAGGAGCTCCTACCCAGGGTGTCCTGCAGCGTGGAACATTTCACATTTACCTCCTGGGTGTCTCCCAGGCCCAGCTTCTACTGTTAGGATACCTTCAAGGAACATCTAGTCTGGGGATGGGGTGTAAGGATCGACGTAACAGAGACGGACGCAGGTTAACACTGAGCCTGGGGCCTCCGTCAGGACCCCCTGTAAAGCAATCTGTGAACTTAGAGGCTCTAGAGGCAAAAACAAAAGGCCAGGAGCTTGAGGGCAGAACTGCCTAGACAGCCTCTGCTGGTCCTCTGTCTCCAGCCCTTATCCTTCAGTCACAGAAGTACAAATCTGATCATGTCACAGACACACTCCAGGGACCCCACTGTTGTCAGATGGGGTCTAGACTTCAGAACACCCCCGCTTCCTTGCTTCCTTCCCAGTCCTTCATGGGACTGGTGCTTGGCTACGAACATCCAAGCGTAGTCCTGCCCTTCGTTTGCTTCCCCCATCAAGCACTTGTCTCTTGGAAACACTGACCTGCAGCCTGTGTGGAGCCTTTGCAGTGTATCCCACAGCCCCTCACCCCTGGCCTATCAGGCCACTTGTCACACTTTATTCTGGTCAGGGACACTGTCTCAAAGATGAGAGATGTACTGACACTTTTTTTTTCTAGCCTAGCACACCACGGAGCAGGGTTCCCCAGCACCGCACAAAAGAGCTACTGTGGCCCTGCCTCCCCTCATGATGTTAACTTTGGTCATGTTTATTTTCACATCACAAGTGTATACTACAAACATAAAAACTGGGTTAAAAACATTAAGTTTTGCTTTCACGTCCAGCTATAAAACCAGTTTTCCAAAGTAAATAATATAAAAGCAGTGAAATTCTACATCACTGCTCTAAAGGGCCATGTTTGTTTTGCCACCTGTTCTGGATGTATAGTTGGACATGATGCATCTGTCTGTACAAGTGGAAAGAGAAAGTCAAGACATCCTCATAGAGATCAGTGAAGTCCCAAGGACCATAGCTCCGCCTGCAGCCAAGTATAGGGCAGGTATCAGCCCCTGGATCCCAGTGGCGGCCATCTGCTCTGGAGTGGGTATACTGAGAGTTAGGGGCCCATGGAGACCATCTGGCACTCCCTCGGCAACCCCCAGTAGCCTCAGCAGCACCTCTCTCCTCTCAAAGACTCCGAGGCACCTGAAGTGCCTGCGTGAAAACTGACAGCTCCACCAGGCCCTGCTCTTTCTCTCAGGCTCCTTTGAGATCTCCAGTCCCTACATACATTTCCCTTATAGGTTACAGAGTGCAAGGTTTGGTTTTGTTTCTGAGACAAAGTCTTGCTGTGTTGTGCTGGCTGGCCTTGTCTCATAAGAAATCTGGCCATCTCTGCCTCCAGTGCTGGGCCTAAAGGTCTGCCCCGCCTCAGCTTGGAATACAATCCTTTTTGTTTTTTACTTGTTTGTTTGGTGGCTTGTTTTGTTTTGTTGTTTGATTGGTTGGTTGTTTGAGACAGGGTCTATACAGTCCTGACAGTCCTAGAAAACTCTATGTGGGCAGACACCTGGCCTCAAACTCACAGGTATCCACCTCCCTCAGCCTCCCAGAATGCTGGGATTACAGGTGTGGGCCACCCTGCCCAGCTTGGAATACAACTTCTTGATCTCATTCTTTTCCCTGTCACCACTGACAGCTCACCTGTCACTCCAAGACATAAAGTCCTATGACATCCCTGCCTGTTGACAAGTAGGTCTCATCTCTGACCCACATTCCTGCTGTGTACTCTGATTACCACATTCCTTACTCTGACCAGGAACCCCAGCCTCTAAAGGAGTCAACTTCTCCCACAGAATCTGGCGTCTGTGCATTAGGGCCTTGAGCTGACACAGTTCTGAGGCTGTGGGGAGCAGAGACCTTACTTTCCTTTGTTGTTATTGCACTGTTCTGAGCGTTGTTTTAATCAGTATCTGGCAGGAAAGGGCCAAGTAATTGCAACTGCAGAAAATGAAATGGTGTTGGAAATGTTCACATAGAAAATGCAGATGCAGTGGCTCCTTGGTCACACATCTTTGTGTGTGTTTACTTTCAAATTTTCCTGTGCTTTTAAGGAGGTTTTCTAATCTACCACTAAGCCATACTCCTGCCCCGAAGGAAGAGCGTTAAAATGAACTCACTGTGGCCTCAACAGGTATCTGCATTATGCCAAGCTGGTTTTTTTCTCCCTGGAGCATCTCTTTTGATTGTCCCTTTTAACTTGCCTCGGGGCCATGTCATTAGCAAGTCAATGAGTCATGTAAGTAAATGGTTTGCTGGGTTTTGCCTGGAGCCAGGCAATTGGGAGAATAAGGTCAAAAAAAAAAAAAAAGAAATCGCATGTGGAGGATTTTCACTGGTCCTTGTGACAGTCAAAGCCCAAGTTATTGGTCAGATTCATCTGGTTTCCTGTTTACAGGACTGCCTTGGGGGTTCCGAGTCTATTTCTTAGCTTAGCCACCACCTGGGCTGCACCGAGAGGGGAGGGCCCTGTGAACTGTGATGAAGGCAGTCAATCTGGCTCCTCTTTCTAAGTCTTTTCTGACAGTTTTCCTGAACTCACTGGTGTTTAGCCATCCCTCCAGTGAGGCCCTGGGGTAAGGTGAGAGGAGTCACTGTATTCACGTTCTGTCTTGTCCTCCAGGCTTGGGCTTCTACGGGCAGCAACTTGTCGCCTGTCCCCCAAGGCCGTCTTGTGTATTTTCTGAGCTTCTGTGTGGTATTGTTACTTAAACAAAAAAGATTGTTGGCGTTCACAAGAACAGATACATCAGGGGATAAAACAGTGCTTCTAAATCTGGATAACAGCTCCTTGGAGCCCTTGTTTAAGAGCATGAATTGCCAGATGAAGCTGTCTGTCACTCGCATATATGACCTACAGGAGTTTAGGTCAGCCTGAGCTACAGTGGTCCTGTCCTAGAAGAAAACCACACTACACCTGGCATGGTGGTGCATGCCTTTAATCCTAGCACTCAAGGATATGAGGCAAGTAGATACTGCACATTCCAGGCCAGCCAGGGCTATACAGTGGACATGAGACCCTATTTAAAAATAAATCAACATCTTGCCAATTCCACCTCGTCCTGCCTGTCCCAAATCTGTAAAGCAGGTTGAAAATTGCTATTTTTTACAGATTTTTTTTTTTTAAGTCCCTCCAAAGAGTAGGGTGTGCGGCCATGATGGGGCACCTATCTAGTATGGATATCTAGACCCTGGGCGAAATCCCCAGTAATGGTGCGTGGGGGTGGGGTGGATCTGTGTAAAGGGCCGAGCACATGGCCCAGTCAGTAGCGAGCTTGCCCAACAAAGCACTGCATAACACCGGGGTAACTCCCTGGTCCCCCTCAGCTGTGCAGTGGATGAGAAGACAGGAGTCCACCACACTGTGTGGGGTGGGGTGCATGTGGAGGGTGTCCTGGCCTAGTTGGTGCCCAGGAAGCCTGGCTTGCTTTCCCCACAGTTACATTCCTCCCAACTTCCAGAGGTAGAGAGGTACAAGGCTCTGTTCCAGGCTGCTGAGGAAGTAGGAAGCAGGTGGACAGGTGCTGCCCTTGGTGGGAGAAAGGGTTTCAAGCCCACTCCTTTTGCTCGCTGGTCAACTTGCAGCCTTCAAACCTGAACTAGTGATGGCCACCCATGTCGTCCCACTGGTGAAGATGAAGTAAGGAGGGTGGTCAGGAGCCGAGGTTTTTTTTTTCCAGAGGTAATAGGTTTACTCCAATGAAATAAGCCAATTCAAGCCAAACTAGAAATATAAAGGCAGCTTTATTGGAGCAAAGAAATCACCATGCAGACAGGGAGAGTGGGGGGGCGAGCGAGAGTGCACAATGGGAAGGAGAAATGCAGAGGGAGAAAGAGACCTAAATTTCTGGGTTATATGAGAAAGACCCTTTGGGGGAGGGGCAGCCCAGCCCTTTCGCTATAAAGTTCAGGGTAGAGGGAGGGGCATGAGGACTGAGGTGAGCTGGGAGAACTTGGAGGCCAGGTTCGCTTTGATATGTTAAATAGGCACCCTAGCCCCTTGTCTGAAATCCAACAGTTTTGTGTTTGAGTGACACTCTTAAGATTATGAGGAAGAAAAAAAAAAAGAAAGAAAGAAAGAAAATTAAAAAAAAAAGATTATGAGGATTGGGGCTGGAGACATGGCTCGGAGGTTAAGAACACTTGCTGTTCTTCCAAAGGTCCTGAGTTTAGTTTCCAGCAACCACAGTTCTCACAACCATCTATAGTGAGATCTGGTGTGTAGGCAGAATGCCCTGTAAATAATAATTCTTTTTTATAAAAAGATGCTGAGAAATTACTTCACTGTCCCTGTGGCAGTGAGGGAAGGGTGAGCCCTCTAACCAAGAGATGAGGTTGTGAAGCCAGCTGTGCACCCCAAAGCAGTGTGACTTTAGGCATGCCTCTTTGTCTCTGTACTCTCCTCTGTAGGGCTTTGGGGACACTGTCCACCACCCCCCAGGCTTGTGCACAGATTTAACAATGTCCGTGAAGCGGTTGGCAGGACACTGATGTCAAAGGTCTTAAGCTCGCCTCCTTCTTCGCACCCACCGCCTGGGTCTGCCTTACCAAGCTAACTGTGGGATGAGTGAGGCATTGCTGCAGCCTTCTCAGCAAGTGAAGAAGAGACCCCTGACTGTTCTCTTCTGCAGCAGCTGGTACTTAATACGGGCTCTTACTGGCCCTGAACGCATCCACTGATGAGCTAATAGGCCAGAAGGACCTAGCTTGTGAAACCAGTCAACATGGGGTTCCCAGCTGGTGGGGTCAAGCCCTGCCACTGAGCTGGTCAGACACCATACCCTTTTCCTTGTCGAATCTCTTTGTTTTTGGACCTGGGGTTTTACTGTGTTGTTTTCTCTGCCTAGGCTCCTGGGTAATAAGGGTCACACAGACAACACACAGCCTGCCCGTTAGTCCTTTAGTTTGTCTGTTGGAGGTAGGTTCTTGCTAAGTAGCCCAAGTGGGCCTGAAACTTGAACTGATCTTCCTGCCTCAGCCTCCCAGTGCTGGAATTACAGGCATGTAATTCATAGCTGGCTTCATTGGCTCAACAACCCGTGAGCAGTCGCTACGACTTCCTCAGTGCTGTGTGGCTGGCCCTGCCCTTACTACCCTTTCAGGCAGACCCATTAGCTCTGTCTCTGAGGTTTAATATTTAGTTTAATTAAGGAAGGGTTTGTTTTTATGGCTCATAGTCGCAGGGGTCTGGTCTGTGATCGCTGGTTCTTTATTTCTGGGCTAGTAATGAGGTGGCGGCATAGCAGCAGGGTGCTGGACACTTGGGGAGGTTCTTCATGGCCAACAGGAAGCAGTGAGAGCAGGCCTCTTAGGTTTGTATACTATTCCTTTCTTCCTGTTTCTGGCCATGTCCTGGTGGTCGTTCACCCATTTGTTTACCACCATTACACAACCAGACAGATGCCAGCACCTCAGGGCAGGGGACAGAACTGTTGAGAGGCAGCCCCAGTATGCGCCAGTGGCTGGGCTGACACATAGTAGGCAAACAGATGGTATGAATAGGAAGCCTCAGATGAGAGGAGGGAAAGGTGGGAGGCTGTAACTCAAGTGTTCTAGGGACTACAGTAGGCTGTGGGTCCTGAAACAGATTTGGAAAGAAGTGACTTTATCCAGGTCCTGTCTGCTGACACCCTGGCTCCGGCCAAGCTGAGCTATAAGTCTCTTCACTGGGGAGATGGCCCAGGAGAAGCTGTGCACTGTGCTCAGTCAGTGGTGGGGGCTGGTGAAATTTGCATCGGAGGCGCAAAGCCTGCACCTTGGTCCACAGGTAGGCAAGAAAGCACTCCAGGAAGAAGGGAATGTGCAATGGAGAAGGCGTAGAGTTCTTTGGCATTTTGGTTTTGTCTTGTTGTGTGTGTGGGGGGGTGTCTTTTTTGTGGTTTGTTATTGTTTTCAAGACGGGGTTTCTCTGTGTAACCCGGACTGTCCTGAACTTGCTTTGTAGACTAGGCTGCCTTCAAACTCAGAGAGATCTGCAGCCTTTGCCTCCAGAAGGCTGGGATTAAAGGCTAGCTTGTATTTTGTTATTGTTTTGTTTTGGATGAGCAGGTCCCAAAAGCAGTTTCACATTCTGACAACAGAAGAGCAGGAAAGAATGGTGTTGGTTGAGGGTTTTAGTGCCCTGGCTTCAGAATCTGGACTCAGACTGGTAGTGGTAGGAAACAAACAGCCATTCCCTGGCCGGGATTACCGGCCATCGCACTTTTCTTAGTATTACACCAGCCAAGAGGCCAGAGAGAGAGCAGAGTAGCTGGGATCAGCTCGGTGCTACATCACTTGCCTATAAGAGCAAGACCATGGGTGTAGCCCTTGGCAGTGCAAAAATAAATGGACAGACACATGGGGGACAGAGTGTAGCATTGCAGCATGCCTCAGCATACCATGAGGGATGGCAGGCCTCATGGCCCTGGTGCTGCTTGGATATATTTCCTCTCCCTGACAGCCCTCCTGGTGTCTCTGTGTGTCTTTCTGGTCTACAACTGCTCTGAGCATCATTCTTGCTACACCCGCCACCCATACCTAGCCTGGAAACTAGTTACTAAACAGATTAAAACATCTTTCTCCCACCTCCCTGTTTCCAGCCTATTCTCTACATAACTGGTCACTCCTTTGCTCAAAATCCTCCTATGGGCCTCAGGAGTGTGGTAGTACATGTCTTTGATCCTAGAACTCCATAGGCAGAGGCAGGTGGATCTCTGGGTTGGAGGCCAGCCTGATCTACAAAATGAGTCCAGGACAGTCAGGAGGCCTACAAACCCTGCTCGAAAACCAACCAAACAAACAAACAACAAAACAACCCTCCTATGGGGCTGATGAAGATGACTTGGAGGTCAGTGAGATGGTCTAGTGGGTAAAGGTACTTGCCACAAAGCCTGATGACCTGATTTCAATCCCCAGGACCCACAAGATGAAAAGAGAGAACCAAGTCCCACAGGCTATCCTCTAACCTCTGCAGGCACAAAATACACGTCTGCTCACATCTGTACATGCGCACGCACATGCACGCAAGCACAGACAGCAATTTAAAAACAAAACTAAAGCCAGAAGGTGGTGCACGCCTTTCACCCCATCACTTAGGAGGCAGAGGCAGTCAGATCTCTTAGGAGTTTGAGGCCAGCCTGGTCTATGTAGTGAGTGGCTCCCTTTGTCTATAGTAAACGTAAATCCTCAGCATAAAAGGTGACCTCGGCTAACCTCACCGAGCCCAGCCACACATGCCTGCCTTCAGCATGTGTTCACAGGCGCACTGTTGCCTTTTGAAATGTGTCAGTATTTAGCCCTGGCTTTCATGGAACTCTTATTTAAACAAGACTGGCCTTGAACTCATGGACCTGTATCTGCCCCTGCCACTGAAGTGCTGAGATTAAAGTGTGGCACGTCACAGCCAGCTGTCTTGCAGATTTCAGTAGAAGAGCCTTCCTAAGGCTGTTTCCTCAAGTCCTCTGCGCCGTACCTCTGTCCCACCCTTTCCCTGGCCAGCATCTTGCCATGTTTGCTGCTGTGTGTTGGTATCTGGAACAGTGTGAGCACTTGGTTGGTCTTTTGAATGGAGTTAACTGATGGCTCTTTTAACACTTGTTCTAGATATGTAACTGGTTCATCAATGCCCGACGTCGCCTTCTCCCTGACATGCTTCGGAAGGATGGCAAAGACCCTAACCAGTTCACCATCTCCCGTCGTGGGGGTAAGGCGTCAGATGTGGCTCTCCCCAGGGGTAGCAGCCCCTCGCTGCTGGCTGTGTCTGTCCCAGCGCCCACCAACATGCTCTCCTTGTCCGTGTGCTCCATGCCGCTCCACTCAGGCCAAGGGGAAAAGCCAGCAGCCTCCTTCCCACAAGTGGAGCTGGAATCCCCCAAGGCCCTAGTGACCCCTGGGAGCACACTCACCCTGCTGACTAATGCTGAGGCTGGAAGCCCCGCCGGTGGACTCTTCAATACGCCGCCACCCACACCCCCAGAACAGGACAAGGAAGACTTCAGCAGCTTCCAGTTGCTGGTGGAGGTGGCGCTGCAAAGGGCTGCTGAGATGGAGCTCCAGAAGCAGCAGGAGCCAGCACCCCCGTTACTGCACACTCCCCTCCCGTTAGTCTCAGAAAATGCCAAGTAGCCACCTGCAGCCTGGCGGCTTGAGGGTTCAGGCCGGCTGCCCCGGGTTCCTGGTTCACTTCCCTTTCATACAGAGGGTATTACGGATCACTGCCAAGCGTCAGGATCATCTCTGTCCAGAGGTCCTCAGCAAGAAGACGCCAGCTGGCGTCCCTGCGCTGCACTGTTTCGGGACCTGTGCTCTGCTGACTGCCATTCCTTCAAGCTTCCTCTCTGAGGAGACCAAGGCACCTGAACCAGGCATGGTGTTGCTGCTGCTGCTGCTGCTGCTTCTCCGAGAGCCCTGGGACACCTGCACTCCAGCCTACGTTCCTACGCAGGCTCAGGAAACCTGCCAAGTTCAGACTTGAGCTGGGTCCAAGCTGCCCCTAAGCTGTGCCTCTTTTGGTCGAGGCAGGTGTGCACATTCCGACTTCTTGAAAGGACAAAGGAAGATGTCCAGCAGATGTCACAGAACCGACTCCAAGTGAATGTTTAGGTTTTTGCAAATTGTTTATTTTCCTTTTGCTGTGGTTTGTGTTACGGCAGTGGCCCAGAAGCTCACGTGTCGGGAGAGAGCACCTTACGTGGTGGAGCTTGGTAAATTGGGGTGATCACCGATGCACCGGATGATTGTATAAGGGACCAGCAGAATCTCTGCAGCAATGCTGAATTCTGACTACAGTGCTTGTTTGATTCTTGGTTTGGTTTACCATATTACAAAAGAAGGAAGATGCCCACAGGTTTGGATAATTTGCACCAACACAGAAGGGGATAAAGCCACAGCCATCTCCAACCAAACCAGACAGCCATTAGACACAGCAGAGATGGCTAAAACCAGAGACATATTCTTTTTATTGTATTTTGGGGTGGTTAAGCTAGACTGAAGCAGTTTTTTGCTTTCTCTCTGTTTTGGGTGTGTGTGCCTTCCCCCCACCCCCTGGCTTTTTTCAGATCCGGGGGCTTGGCCAGATTGTCAAGCACCAGCCTTTCCGGCTTGGGGAGAAGTGAGCCATCTGCCGGTCAGGAGACTGGAGGAAAGGGGCTAGTGTGGCTACAGACTGGCCCAACACCGGGAGCTGTGTCTGTCTCACCTCCCCTTCAGGATGGAATTGCAGAGGCCTGCCTAAGTTTCCCGGGGAACACATCACACTTGGTCTTAATCTCTCCCCCCCCCTTGTTTTTTTTTTACTTTGCTGTTTTGTTAGTTTTCAGCAGCAATATACCCCATCTTTGTATATCCTAAGAAACACTAATCCTAGGTTTTTATTAACCAAAATATTTCTGTTCTGAATAACCAGAAGATGTGAGGAGCCCTGACTGTAATTTCCTGAAGTTTGCCAGGTTGTGAACACAGAAGGGGCTCCTGGGAGTTGACTGACTTGGAGTGCCTGTCCCAGAGAAAGGCAGAAGAACCCTCTGGCCTTTCTGGGAGCCCTTGACACTTACCAGGTTTCCCTACCTCTCCTGAGTGGCTTCGCACCATCCCTTGCTGTGCAAGTAGGAATGAGAGATTTGCTCTCTGTAGGCTCTGTCTCCTGCCTCCCTCTAGCTTCTACCTGTACTTCAGGGGATCCAGTATCCTCATCCTTGAGGCACTGCTGGGGATGGCTAAACATGGCAGCTTACTGAATTTGCTGTTGGCCCACTTCTCCCCCAACTGTCCATGAGATCCCGTGATTGCTGCAGGATGTCTACAGTAGGGGGTGATACTGGGATGAGGATTTTTCTCCCCATAGTGCACTGAGAGTGGAGGAGGGAGGGAGCCATGCTGCTGACATATTCTGGCATTCCCCTCCTGGAATAGTGGGGCACTGAGGGATAGAGGAGTAGTCTCTGCTTAGGTTGCTCGTAAGATAAATCTGGAGAAGCACGGCTGTCCCATTGAACAATATTTGAACAAGAAACTACTGTAAATAACTGGTTTTTGTCTTTTGTCAAATAAAGTTGTTTTGGTTTTGTTTATTTTTAAAATCAAACTGAATTCTTGATTGGACCCACTGCTTTGGAGACAAAGCAGTCCCTAAGGGTTTTTGGTTGGTTGGTTGGTTGATTGGTTGGTTGGTTTTTCCAACAAAGTCTCTTTGTAGAACCTTGGCTGTCCTTTGTAAACCAGGCTGGCATAGAACTCGCAGAGATCTGCCTGCCTCGGCCTCTGTCTCTCCAAGTGCTGGGAGTACAGGCGTGTGCCAGTCACTCAGTTTTCGCTCTACCTTGCCTCTGCCACCCTCCTTCCAGCCACCCAGGTTTTATGCAGCCCTTTCTTGGTGCATTTCAGTCTATACTGCACGGTCTACAGGGATGCATTCTGTGTAAGCCTGGCTAGTCTGCTGATCACAGGTAAACATTGGCTTTGCTGAGTGATGAGTGGACTTGGGAGGTGGCAGTTTTGTTCCCTTGGGTGAGGGGGGTTTGATAACCAGAAAAACTAGCAAACATCTGCTTCAGCTATAGCTAAAGACAGGATGACCTCCACTTCCCTGTGTGTCGGCCTGTAAGTTCCCCATTTGGTCTTGCTTGAAGGTCACAGAAAGATGTCCAAGAACCAGTTAAAGTAGTGGTGAGTGAAGCATCCTGCTGTCCTTAACAGCGTGGGCTACAGCCGAATCAGCTTGCTGGTGTTCGGGGTTTTGTTTTTAATTTATGAATGTTTTGCTTGTGTGCCACCAGAAGTTAGAAGATGTTGGGTGCTCTAGAATTGTAGTTACAGAAATTACAAATGGTGTTGGACCACCAGGGAGGTAGGTGCTGGAGATCACACTGAGAGCAACAAGTGTTCTTAACTGCTAGGCCATCTCCCCAGCCTTGGTTTGATTTTTTTTTGGTTTGGTTTGATTTGGTTTGGTTTGGTTTGGTGTGTGTGTGTACGTGCACTCATGTGTCATAGTGTCTCAAGTATTAACTTAGCCTGGCCTTGAAATCCTGATCCTCCTGAATCCAAGGTCTGTTAGCATCCCCCAAATTGGACAGTTAGGCCCAGGACTTGACAGGAATAGGTAAACCTCAAAAGAGATTTGGTTTTCGTGACCATAATACAGTTCCAGTAATTTAGGAGTAGAGGCAGGAAGATTAATGACACCATGGCTAGTCTGGACTACATAGCAGGATGCTATAGCATCTAAAAGTTAGATTCCCTCTGTTGTGGTTTGGATGTGAAATATTTCCTGAAGGCCCTTCAGCTAAAAGCTGCTGCAACCTGAGGGGCTCTGGGGATTATTTCCCCCAGATCATGAGGGATACAGCTGATTAGTCGATGGGTTTTGGTGCCATGGGGGAGTAAAAACTAAGAGGGGAAACAAAATAAGTCACTGATGGTCATGTCCTTGCAGACTAAATGCATCCTTTTCTTGTCCCTTCCCTTCCCTGCTACTGTATGGTAAGCACCTCTGCTCCACCTTAAACCTCTAGTCAAGCCGTGAGCCAGCCTTTGTTCCTTTAAGTTATTTCTCAAGGATGATGAGAGCCACCATGATGAAAATGTGACTAGTACCTAAAAGAGAGAAGTGCTTTGAATGGTTCCACTTTGTGAGGAGAAACGGCTCCTATAAATACTTTTCAAAGAACTAAAACTGAAACTGTCTTCTGGGAGCCAAAGATGTAGCCTAGTTGGTAGTGTACTTGCCTGTCGTCCATGAAGCCGTGGGCTCGGTCCCTAGCACCACTCAGTTTGCAGTGATAAGGCAGGCATGGCAGCTCAAACCTGTAATCCCAGAATCAAAACTTCAAGATCCAGCCTGAGTTGGCTCAGTGTGTAAAAGTGCTTGCTGCAAGGCCTGACAACCTGAGTTCAATTCCAAGGACCTGTGTGATTAAAAAAAAAAAAAAAGAAATGACTTACTACAAATTGTCCTTTGGTCTCCCATATGTACTGAGGCACACGTTTTTATACATAAACACATTTTTTAAGTTCAAGATCTTCTTCAGTATACAGCCAAGTTGGAGGCTACCAGGGTTACATAAGGCCCTGTCTCAAAAACAAAACCTTGAGTTGGTAACATGCTTGAATTGACACGCTTAATGTGACTGCCTCTTCCTGAAGCTGTGGACATCAGCCTCATTCAGGAAGAACAGGTTTTCTGGTTTTGTTTTTAGTAGACTGTCACTATGTAGCCCCTGCTAGCCTCAAAATCAGGGTCCTTTGGCCTCAGCCTCCCACGTCACTACATCTGTCTTTTTTGTGTGTTGGGATAGAGGGTTGGAGATTGGTACAAGTGAGCAACACCCCAGCTTCCCCATCCCAGTGGTTAGGAGAGATGGTTCTTCGGTGGTTAAGAACACTGGCTGCTCTTCCAGGGTTCATTTCCCAGCACCCATAAGACAGCTTAAACCTGCCTGTAACTCCACTTCCAAGGGATCCAATGTAGACATATGCTGGCAGAACACCAATGAACATAATATGTTTTTTAAAAAGAAGAAGAAAAAAACCGTCATTGAACCTTGTGACTTCTTAGTCCTTAACAGTCAATAATGACCTGAAGGTCACCTTGGGATTTTCACTTTAACCATTACCCTCCCATCCATGGGTTCCACATCACAGATTGAATCAAAACTATGTGCTATTCTAGTACACCTTCTTCCCTGTCTTCAGTCCACTATATAACCGGGGCAGTTGCTTTTCCACGGTATGTCAGGTCTCTGCCAGCCATCGGTGTCTGAGGCCAGCAGAGCATACTTCTCCAACCCCACTGCAAGCAGCTGGCAGTCAGGCATAAGGCGTTCAGTGGGAAGGAAGTAGTCTAATGGCTGAGACCAGGTCTTACTTGCTACAACTCCTACACCTCACAAAGACAAATTGTGCCCTACTTCCAAATCTGTCTCCTACCTCCAAACCTGACTTCATCAAGTTCTTTTCCAAGTTAGCCCACCCAAGATGTTTATTTTATCCAGATGGATGCTCTGGGATTCAGCCAGATTCCTCACTTCCTAAGATAAGAAAGCCTTGAGAGACTTCAGAAAGGGAACGAGTCAGTCTCACACATAGTCGCCTACCTTCTAGGCTGGGGCTTATCCAGGCTGCCAGCCAGGCTTCAGAGAAAACCAGAAGCACAGATCAGTTTCCTGGCCTCTTAATCTCTAACTTGCTGGTCACTTTGAGCTACAGGGCAGGATCCCAGATCCTTCCAACCATAAACCTCCAAAAACTTCCCCACTCCTATGAAAAAAATTATAAGAATTTAAATTGAATTTCAGAATGTGTAACACAAAGAGCTGGTGGGGTTTTTTTCCCCCTCCTGTAAAAGCTGTTTGCAAGGGCTGGGCATGGTGGTGCAATTCTGTAATGCTTGTACTGGGAATTTGCAGGCAAGGATATCAAGAGTTCAAGGCTATCCTCAGCTACAGGGCGTTTGAAGTCAGCCTGGACTATATGAAACTTTGTCTCAGTAAACAAGTAAATAAATGAATAGGCTGGGGCTGGGGCTCTCTTGGAAGAGAAAATACAGGAAGCCCTGGCTTGCAGCCCTGTTCCTGCCTAAGACTAACCAGGCGGGATGGTGAATGCTTATAATCTTGACACTTGGAATGTAATAGCAGGGGATCAGACATACAAGGTCATCCTTGGCTGCACAGCAAGTTCAAGGCCAAACTGGGCTATGTAAGACCCTGCCTCATTAGAAAAACAAAAACCCTTAACCTGTGTTCAAAGGTGATATAATTTGACAGGTAGGAAACCCTACTGAGGGCCTTCAAGGTACGTCGGTAGGTAAAGGTGCTTGCTGCCAGGTCTGACAACTTGAGTTTGATTCCACATGATGGAAGGAGAGAACTCCCACGAGCTGTCCTATGACCATGTTCACACTTTGACATATACACCCAAATAAATATAAAGTATATTAAAATGTTTAATTGAAGGTTTTAAAACTGCCAGCATAAAAATAAATTTTAAAATGAATACATTGTAATAAGTAAAAAATTAATTTTTAAAAAACTGCCAGCATTTAGGAGGCACAGAGGCAGACAGACCTCTGAGTTCCAGGCCAGCCAAGACTGCAAAATGAGACCCTGTCATTGAAAAACAAAAAAAGAATTTAAAGAACACAGGCTGCTCCCACATGCTGCTCACAACCAACTCAACTCACAGTTCCCAAAGAATCCAGTGACCTCTTCTGGCTTCCATTGGCACCAAACACAAATGTGCTACAGGTACATTAGGCAAATACACATCAAAAGCAAAAATCTTTTGAAAAAAAAAAAGAATATGAAAGTAGAAGGGGGACATTTGGGAAAAAATAGGTTCAGAGGGAGAGGGAATGGGATTAGAGAGGTTACTTACAGACAGCGAAAATGACCAAGATACATTATATACATGTATGAAACAACATTATCAACAGAATAAACCCACAGAATAGTTAAGAATGAAAATCACATGTGGGTGTTAATAGCTATCATGATATCCATAATGAAGAACTGGTCCCAAGATACAAACAAGAGGTCAGTGAGTACAAGGAGAAACAAACACTCAGCATCCCTGACCATTAGGAAGATGTCCATCAAAACCACAGTGAGAAGTTCTGCCGCTGTGGGCCTCAGATCCCTTCACTTGGGAAGCTAAAGGAGAAGGCCAACTTGGCTTACATAAAGAGTTCAAGGCCAACCAGGAATACACAGAAAGGGTGGTCTTGAGGAAAGCGCCTGGAAGCCAGGCATGAAATACCACACCTTCAGTCCCAGGACCTGGAGTCCGAGACAGGCAAAAGCAGGAGACAGGTAGTGCTCTGTGTATTTGAGTCCAGTCTGGTCTACTGGAGTTCCAGGCCAGCCACAGCTACACAGTGAGACCCTGTCTCAAATTTTAAAAAAGGGGTAGGGCAGGAGTGGAAAATGCCAACTACGAAAATCTGGGAAACCTTGCTAGTAGACTGTTTAACCTGAAGTAAAGATCCAACTACAGGTGAATGTTGACAGAAAAATGAGATGAGGGTTTTTCTTTTCTTTTCTTTTTTAGACAGGGTGTCTCCCTCTCTCTCTCTCTCTCTCTTAATATGGCCCTAGCTGCCCTGAACATATTATATAGACCAGGTTGGCCTTGAACTCTTAGAAATCCACCTGCCTCGGTCTCTCAAATACTGGGATTAAAGGCATGTGCCACCTAAAAGACTCAATGTCACTCTGTGGCCTAGGCTACTCTTGAACTCCTGATCCTGACTTCATCTTCCAAATGCTAGGATTACTCCAAACATGAATTAATCAACTCTTAGCAATCCACATGGGCACATCTGCACATATGTGCACACATTCACACAAATAAATCAAACTTGAGGGATATGAGACAGGGTCTCACTATGTAGTCCTGGCCATCTTGGAACTCACTGTGTAGACCAGGCTGGCCTTGAACACGAGATTCACCTGCTTCTTCAGTCTGAGTGATGGAATTAAAGGTGTGGACCAGCACACCTGGCAAAATTAACTTTAAAAGTACACACAGGTTGGGCAAGGTAAGGCATGTTTATCATCTCAGTATCCTGGGTAAGCACAGGCAGGTGGATTTCTCTAGAGTTTTAGGCTAGCCTAGTCTACACAGCAAATTCCAGGCCAGTCAAGGGCTAGCTACATAGTGAGATCTTACCTAAAATGCGCACACGGGATTGGAGAGATGGCAAAGTTCTTAAGAATTCTGGCTGCTCTGCTAGAGGGCAGGTTCCATTCCCAGCACCTGCATGACAGCTCACAATTGTCTGTAACCCAGACCTAAGAGATAAGTTGCCCTCTTCCGGCACCAGGCAGACAATACCGGCAAAACACCCATACCATGGGATGAAATAATTATTATTTTTTTTTTTTTAAAAAAAGAAGAGAACAGAGATTTAGAGTCAAATAGACCCAGGTGAATCCAGGCAAACAACTTTGCCTGTATAAACTCACTGCAAGAAAGTGACGTTCCTCTATCTCTAGCGCATTGTGTGCCTGGAGGTTGGCGGTGGTTTTTGTTCGTTTGAGACACCCTCTCTCACTTTGTATGCCAGACCAGCCTTGCTATGTAACCCAGGTCAGCCTAAAATTCCTCTCCAGGCTGGGATTGCACACAGGCACCGCCACAACACGGGATGCCCCAGAATTTGTGCCGTTGTACAAGTTTGCAGGGGGTGCAGCTGCTTCTGGCCGTTCCAAACACATTCTGCGAAATGTTAACACTGTGAGGACGCAACAGATACCCCGACACCATTTTTCTATTTACCCTGGCGGGGTTCTCCATTGGTGCCAACTTGCCTTGTCCTTAGAAAAGGTTTTCTTTTCTCTTGGGATCTCAGCCTCACGTTCGTCAGAGGAGAAGGCCGGGCAAGATGAGACGTTGAGTTTCACGGAATTTTTTGTTCCTCATTTTGAGACCAGGCCTGCTATGTAGCCCAGGTTTACGTGGCCTGGGATTCACCATCCTCCAGAAGGTAGACAGGCTTGCACCGTCACCAGGCGAGGGAACTTGACTTTTTCCGTAGTCTTTTCGGCGGACGAATTAACGTCGTGACTAAAGTGTAAGGTTTAGGAGAGAACGCAAGAAGGTAACTCCATCGGGGCATCCTGGGGCTCCCGGTGACCACGGCAGGGTGTAAGGCCACTTCTAACTGTCGCTCTAGGGGAGGAGCCGCCGGCTCACCGGGCAGTGACAACGTCAAATCTCGGCTTTCCTCGGAGCTCTTCCTCAGTCTCCACAGCGCCTCCTCGCGTCCAGGTCGCCTCCGGGGCTCACTTGTCCCTTCTCGCTCCCCCTAGCCTAGCGCCTCCCGGAAGCCTGCCGTCACTTCCGCCCACCGGAGGACGCTTGCGCAGAGGCGTCACCGAGGCCCGGAGCAGCCGGCTGAGCGGCCGCTGATTGGCTGCGTGCGCACGTCGTCGTGCGCTCCGCCCCTCCCTCCGCGGCGCCTGCTCCGTGCAGCGAGCGAGCCGGCAGCTTGGCAGAAGGACAGGATCTTCGGCGTGCCGCGGCACCGCGTTGCCTGGACAGTCGCTGCCCGCCCAGCGCGCCGAGACCCGCCACCCCGGACCGCCGACTCCCTTCGGCTCGGCCCGCGCGCCCCAGGCCCGGCTCGGGCGGCGCGACGGGAGGATGAGCGGCGGGCGGCGGAAGGAGGAGCTGCCTCAGCCGCAGCTGGCCAACGGGGCGCTCAAGGTGTCCGTGTGGAGCAAGGTGCTGCGGAGCGACGCGGCCTGGGACGACAAGGTGCGGCAGGGCCGGCGAGGCTGCGGGCTCGGGAGGACGGGCCCGGGTCTCCCTCGTCCCGGCCGGGGAGCTGGGAGCGGGTGGCCGGGGTGCCGGCGCGGAATGGACGAGCGCGGGCCTGGCCGCCCGCCCGCCCGATGGAAGGGGGAGCCGTCTGGGCACGCGGAAGCGGCGAGCGCGGGCCGGGGCGGGCGGAGCTCCTGTGGTCGTCCGCCGTTTTTCTCCGAGGGATCCGGAGTAGTTAGCGCTTCTGAGGAGTGCGCGCGGGCCGGGTGCGGAATCCCCGAAGTGCGTTTAGTGTGCACGTTGGGAGGGGTGCTGCTGCCTTTGCTCGACTAGATGAAAACGACGAGATGGCCCGTGAGCTTCAGATTCGAGAGTCGGGTCTGAGACCGTCTTAGGAGGGTGTGAGTTAGGAAGAAATTTGCTAGACTTGGGTAAGAAGCGGTTGGGGACTTCAAGATGCTCTCGCTGGTCCCCTCCAGAGGATCTGAGCGTGGACGCTTCCCACCTATGCTCCATTCTGTGATCTTGAAGCCTGCACGATGCAGACTGATTCCAGACGGTTAAAAAGAATGTTATTCTTGGACTTCCTTCGTTGTTTGGACTGCTGAAATTGGACTTTCCTTTCTTCAGTTCCGCCGTGGGGGTAGGAAGTACGGCCTGAAGGTGCCCTTGGCCTGCCCCCAGCCCTGCCCAGTTCTTGCAAAACCTGTAGTGTCTTTGTGATCTGCTGTGTCATTTTTTTTTTTTTTCTTCTTCTTCCCTGATCCAAGGACTGGTGTCTGGAGTCCAGGGCAATTCACAAACCTAGGTGCTCTTTGTTGGCTGAAACTTAAATGTGCTGGCACTTGGTTAAAGCACTTCCCCACCACTGTTCCTCGGTGGCTCTCCCAAAAGTCACCGTACAAGAAGTGTAGGTATTAAGGGTAATCGTTCTTGTTGGGGAATGTCAGGACTTAGCTGGTCAACTAAGGGTTATCTGTGGCTAGAAGCCCAGGGCCCACAGTCCTTGACTACAGTTTCATTCACGCAGCTTCTTTTAAAGAAGTAATGATTTCTCTAACATGTGGAGTACAGGCTCTGGAAATAATCATGTAACGTCTAAACACGTTGTTTTCCACCACACATTAGTAGGAGAGATGGTGGGAAAACCTCACATGGAGGCAGTTGGTGATGGTACACCCTTTTAATCCCAGCACTCAGAAAGAGGTGAGGGAATTTCATGAGTTCGAGCCCAGTGATCTACAGAGTGAGTTCCAGGACAGCCAGGGCTACATAGAGATATCCTGTCTCGAAAACCAAAAAGGTGGGGAGGGACCACATATGGAAGGTAGAGAGAGGGCTCAACAGTTTAGAATACTGCTTGCTTTTGCAGAGGACCTGGATTTGATCCCCAGTACCCACATGATGAGTCACAGTGGTCTATAACTGCAGTTCCAAGGGAACCAGTGCCCTCATCTAGGAGCCATGGTCAGCAGGCACATTTGTGGTGCACGTGCATACATTTAGGCAAAACACTAATGCATACAAAATAAAACGAATAAAGCTAGAAGAGCCACGTTTTAAGTTGGTTGTAGTGGTACACCATTAAGTCAGCACTCCAGAACCAAGATCTGGTTTACGTAGCAGGTTCCAGGCTGGCCAGAGCTACATAGTGAGATTGTCTTGGGGTGTGTGTGTGTGGGGGGGGGGTAATAAGCTTTTGTTTATCCACCTATGGGTGTCCAGCCATTATAAATAATGCACACATTGTGTCTTTTCTATAGGATGAATTTTTAGATGTGATCTACTGGTTCCGACAGATCATCGCTGTGATCTTGGGTGTCATTTGGGGTGTTTTGCCCTTGCGCGGCTTCTTGGGAATAGCAGGGTAAGTCTTGGCTATCACATCTTGTAGGTTTTTCTGTCTGTCTGAGATGTGATCTCACTCTGGAGCTTATAGAACTTGCTTTGGCCTAATACGTGCTGGGATTATGAGCAAACAGCTATGCTCAGGATTCTCATTTCTCCGTATGTACGTACGTACGTACGTACGTATGTATGTATGTATGTATGTATGTATGTATGTATGTATGTATTTTAGTAGCAGGGTATCATCAGCCAGGGCAGCCCAGGTTGCGCCTTGAACTCCTCACGTCTTGCCTCTATTTCCTGCGTGCTGTTGGTGTTTATAGGCATGCATCAACATGCTTGGTTGGGTCTTGCTTGTTGTTTTGTTTTGTTTTTTCAGGTAGAGACTCTTGTTTCCCTTTTATGGCTGGCATCATGTGCATCCCATTACTAAAGCAAAGAAGTCAGCATCAGCATTCCTGGGCTGGTGGAAGGCCCAGGAACATCTCATGTCAGGCTGCTGACCTCAAGACTGGGCCAGTCTTTTCATGGGTCTAACATGCCTTCTTGTCAGTGGTTATTGTGTTACTTGTTGGCAACAAATATCCTTTTGAAACTTTTTTTTAAGATTTACTTACTATGTATTCCGTGTTCTGCTTGCATGTATGCTGCAGGCCAGAGGAGGGAACCAAATCTCATTCTCATTATAGATGGTTGTGAGCCACCATGTGGTTGCTGGGACTTGAACTCAGGACCTCTGGAAGAGCAGCCACTGCTCTTAACCTCTGAGCCATCTCTCCAGCCCCAACACACATTCTTAGCTGTGTCCTGCCCTGCTGCCTGTGGATGTTTAGGAAGTTTGGGAGCTTTGTAATTAAAGACCATTTTTTAATTCTTTTTATTTTGCTTGATATAACAGCTCTTGACTTTAGCAGGAGTTATTTTCAGGTCCCTACATTTTAAAAGCATCACCCCATCCCTACCGAAAATAGGAGGCTTGGCTTTGTACATTTTACTTCACTCCTGGCTAATGGCAACATCCTTGATACCTAGTCATGGTTCAGTTTATTGAGTTACCAAAAGCAAGTCTGTGCTCATGAAACTGCATATAAAAGGCAGTGGGAAACTCCTTAATGTGAGATAGCACTTGTGGAAGTGAGGAGGCTTGCCTTTTCTCTTTTCACACAGTCAAGACAAGTGAGCTAGCCCTCCCTTGTCACACATCTACCCCAATGAAAGCCACCCTAGTAGTTTGAGAGCTGATGGTATCTCTTACTGGTTCTTCTTGTTTGTTTTTTGAGACAGGGTTTCTCTGTGTAGCCTTGGCTGACCTGGACTCACTTTGTAGACCAGGCTGGCCTCAAACTCACAGAGATCTGCTTGCCTCTACCTCCCAGAGTGCAGGGATCACAGGCGAGTGCCACTACACCCAGCTTCTTACTAGTTAGTATATTTCAGAAATAGAATTGCATAATTTCTTGGGACAGTAGTAACCCAAAAGAAATATATAGTAGTCCCTCCTGTTGACAGACCTATTCCAAGACCCTCAGTAGATACTCACAACCAATTACATAGAAATGAGGAGCTGGGCATGATGGTGCATCTGTACTCTCTGCACTTGGAGGTTGAGACAAGAGACTCTCATGAGTTTGAGACCAGCTGGGTTACACCGTCAGCCAAGGGTATAGTAAGACTGTCTCAGAACCATTTTAAAAATTACAGATTAAGCATTGTGAGAGATTAAAAACTAATAAAACAAATAAAGTAACTAATAACTATCGCAGGGCTCAGTGACACATGCCTTTAATCCCAGCACTTGGGAGGCAGAGGCAGGAGGATCTCTTTTGAGTTCCTACTAGCCTGATCTACAAAGTGAGTTCCAGGACAGCCAGGTCTACACAGAGAGACCCTGTGTCTAAAACAACAACAACAACAAAAAAAAAAAAACAATTACAACAATTGTATTGTCTTTTTCTCAGTTTCAAAATACCCAGTTGTTTTATAGTACTTCTTCAGATGTTAGATATCTGAAGAAAGTACTTCATGGCTTTCTGGCATAGCCAGATTGTTAGAATCACTGTTCTTTAATTTTGCTGCTGTTACTAAGTAACACCAGGGTTGTTGGAACACAAGCACTAACACTGTCACAGGTCCGATACCCACCATGTGCTGGCAGACAGGGAGAACAGACAGCATGAATGGAGGATGGCAGGGTGAAGCAGGGCAGCACAGGATGCACACACTGCCTACAACGGCCTGCAGTTGAAACTTAGGCATTTGATTTACGTGGCACGTGTCTATTTCTGCAATTTCCCTTTTGTCCAGGACTAATGATGAAACCACACAAAAACTGGGCAAGAGGGAACTACTGTTCTGTGCCTTCTAACCAGAAAGGCTTTCTTTCTTTTTCTTTTTTAATATTCATTTATTTATTTTATATATGAGTGCTTAGTCTTCACACACACAAACCAGAAGAGGGCATCAGATCCCATTACAGGTGGCTATGAGCCACCATGTGGTTGCTGGGAATTGAACTCAGGACCTCTGGAGGAATAGTCAGTGCTCTTAACCACCGAGCCATCTCTCCAGCCCCACCAAAAAGGTTTTCTCTGTGTGTGTGTGTGTGTGTTTTAATGCTGCGCAAAGCATTGTACAACCAAACTGTTAAGAGTTCATGCAGAATATGATCCCTACAGAGCGGGTACATAAGACTGGTCGGGGTGATTAGCTGTTGGAACTATGGTTCACATACCTCTTCCTAGGTGTGATGGGGTATAAAGATAGAATACTGATTACTTCACTTCAGGTCTTTGTGTTAGTAGGAAAAAAGGTAGGCAGAGAATAATGCCAGAGGAAGAGGAGTTTGTCCTTGCAAGGCCACCGATGTAGGGGAGGGATGGTGCTAGTTCAGAGCCCCTGCATCTGTCAGATTTTACAAGACTGTTTTCCCCCTTTGGTGTATGGTGCAAGCACAAGAATGTGCAATGAGTGTGCATTACAGAGGCCAGAACAGGATGTAGGTGTCTTCCTCTATTGCTCTGTGCAGTGTTGCCTTGAGATGGGGTCTCTCACTGAGCCAGGACAGCTCACCACCCTAAATTAGGCTGGCTTGCCTATGAGCTCCTGGGCTTGCTTGTCTGCAACAGCAATACTAGGATAACAGGCATATGGTGCCATGATGGGCTTTTATGTGGGTGGTGGCATTTGAATTCAGGTCTTTGTGTTAGTAGAACCAGTGTTCTTACCCACTGAGCTGTCTCCACAGCCCTTAAAAATATTAAACATAGTTTCGTTTTTTTATTACACTTTCCATGGCACATATGTGGCAATCAGAACAACATAAGGTATTGGTTCTCTTCTTTTACCATGTGGCTCTTAGAGGCTGGGCTTGGGCCAGCAGGCGTGGTGCAGATGTCTTTGGTCACTGAGGCCCTTTTGTAAGATTTTGTTATGGTTTCCTTTTTTGAGATGTGGGTCTTAACTTTGTAACTGTAGCTGGCCTGGAATGCACTTTGTAGGTCAGGCTGATCTTGAACTCATAGAGATTCCGCCTGCTTTTGCTTCCCTTGTGCTGGGACTAAGGCATGTAACACCATGCCTAGCCCTCTTGTAGGATCCAGTCTGGAAATGGTCAAACAAGTAATAGAGTAGTTCATTGCACCTCCTACTGTATGTAAACAGCCTTTAAAAAACCTCATAGAAAACTTTGCATTCAAGTTCTGAGTCTACTGCTTTAAAGTTAACATAATGTGGGGTTTACCTGAGATCAGTGAACTCATCAGTAAAATGGGGACAAGAGGAGTGACTGACAGACGAGTTAAATGGGTTGATGTGAGTGAATTGCTAGAGACCTCAGTTCCTCAGGCATCCCATGAGTCAGCTCCCTGCTGTTGTTACATGATTAGAATTATAAGATGTGGCGAAGAGAACAAGAAACTGAGTGCACCTTGGACTGGCTGACCGAGTGTGTGGTGCCACTAACGTAGGGTTGCCTGTTTCTGGGATTCAGGCCCATACTGTCACCAGAGCCAGTTTCTCTCTCTGGACAGACTGTAACTTCCTTTGGGTTGGCACGTTCCCCTGCTGTTGGAAAGGCCAAGAACTTTGATTTTGTATTTTTTCCATACCCCTTCCGCAACTTTCTTTGCTTTAGGGATGACTTCCTGGTGCTCATTTCTGATGATTTTCCCTCCTCTCTCCAGTAACTACTTAGCTGTCCTCAGTCCAGCTCCAACCTCGCTTTATTCCGTGTGGCCCTCACTTAGCATCAGTTACAGTCAGGCTCCCCTTGCTTCCTTATTTGTAATTAGCCCGAGACTGGCTGGCAGCTATTCTGCCTACTCAGGCTTCGTGCGCCCACCTCTGGGCTCAGCTCATCACGTGATCACTATGTTCTCAGTTAATGCTTAACCTTTAACTGGTGCTTCCATTGATATGTATATAGTAAATGCATTTATTTTGTGTATGAAGGGGGCACTCGTGTAGAAAGAGGACAGCTCAGGGAGTCCATTCTCTCCACCATGTGATTGAACACAGATTGGCAGACTCGGCATTAACCATGAGCCATCTCACTGGCCCTTTTGTTGTTTTCTGGGACAGGGTCTTGTATTATTCAGGCTGACCTTGGACTCAGTTCTCTTGCATCATCCTCTCAAATGCTGGGTTTCTATGCTTTGCGGCTCTTCCTCATTTATACAATAGAATGATACTCATCCTTGAAGCTTGGTCAGCGTGAGGCCCTTCTCTGACCTCACCTAACATAGATTAAATGCTCTGATTTCGGTTGCTTCTGTATGTATCAGGTTTACTTTTGTAAGGATGTACCATGTCATTCTTTTCCTCTTGTCACCCCACTTACTGACTCCATCATCCTTCTTCCATGTCAGCTTATTGTCACTTTGTGCTAATGTGTTTTTGTTTTCTAGTTTTCCCCCTCTTGAAAGACAGTGTTTCCCTGTATAACAACTGTGCCTGCCCTGGAACTCACAGAGATCTGTCTGCCTGCCTCTGGGATTTAAGGGCTGGGTCATCACCACCCAACATTTTTTTAAAAAGATTTATTTTATGCATATTAATGTTTTGTCTGCATATATATCTATCTGCACATCAGAAAAGGTCATATGATCCTATGAGACTACAGTTATAGATGATTGTGAGCCCATCTAAAACGTGGTTGCTGGGATTTGAACTCAGGGCCTCTGAAAGAGCAGCCAGTGTGAGGGTGACATAGGAGAACACTGCTCATGAGAATTGCATTATATTACCATCCACACACTAGACTTGTGAAGCCTGGACACCCAGCCTTCTCACCTCCCCTAGGGTCCCAGTGATTCCACCAAGCTCGTGTGCTTCCTTACACCAGTCTGTGTTTCTCTCTGCGAACAGTCTGCACAACCCTACCCCATCCTTTGTACTCACTGTGTTCCCATTTCTGCATCAGCTCAATACATCATGGGGTCAGAGGCTTCCCTGGGGTGGGATGGGAGGGTTCATTGATCATCAGGGTTTTTTGGGTTTGGTCTGGATTAGCTTTGTTTTTTGTATTTGTTTTGTTTGGGGGGGCGGGGGTTCAAGACAAGGATTCTCTGTAGCCTTGGCTGTCCTGGACTCACTTTGTAGACCAGGCTGGCTTTGAATTCACAGAGCTCTACCTGCCTCTGCCTCCCTAAATGCTGGGGTTACAGGTGTGTGCCACCATACCCAGCTCATAAATCACCAGTTTTAACTCCATTTCTGTTGGTATTCTTGGCCCTCTAGTAGATGGTAAACTGAAGGCAAGGGCATCATGTTTACCTGGCCATTGGGTCAGTAACAAGCATAGAGGTTCATAAATGGCCTCCTCTTGGGAGATAGCAATGTTCTTGTTTTACCAGGCCATAAACCAAAGGTGTCTGTCCCTTCACCAACCCTCAGCTGGAACTGTGTTGAGCCTTGTGGCTGGTATGGGTTCCTATTTGGGGTGGCACTATAGCCATTCTGATTTCTTCAAGGAAGCCAAGAGAAATTCTGTGTGCTTTAAATTGGAGAGTAGGCTGGGTGTGATGGTATGCTTCTTTAATCCCAGCACTCAGGGAGGTAGAGGCAGGGGAATCTCTCGTGAGTTTGAGGTCAGCCTGTTCTGCATAGAGGGTTTCAGGCCAGCCAGGGCTACACACTGAGGCATTCTCCTTTTTGTTTTTCAAGACAGGGTTTCTCCGTGTGATAGAGCCCTGGCTGGCCTGCTGCAATTAAAAGTGTGCACTGCCATGCCTGGCGCTGTGAGGCCCTCTCTCAAAATAATTAGATTGGAGAATTGGGGATAGTGCTGAGAATGGCACTCAGAAGCCTTGTTTGTGCTAGAAAAGTGCTCTGCCATTGAGGCCCCTCCTCCACGCTAAATATTTTGTTTCATGCTTTTGACTGAAAGTAGTTTCTCCTTAAATCTTCAGCTCCACCGAAGGTATAGACTTTTTTTTTTGTATTTTGTTCACACCTCCTACTATAACAACTATCCAAGTTGTTATACATATGAGGGAGCGGAGGCCCCCCTGGAGAGACTTACACAAACTCTCATATATAACGACGAAATAAACAGATTGAGCCAGTCTTCCTGAGCTTGGAGCTTCTCTCCAGGTCATCCCTGCCTGGGCAGGGCTGGGTGGGGAGACAAGGGTGCACATGCACAGATGATGAACTGGAGCGCAGCGCTCTAACAGCAGGGAGAGCTCGCAGCTTCAAGCTTACACTTTGCTTTTGGCGCTTCCCCCTCACTCCAGATTCTGCCTGATCAACGCAGGAGTCCTGTATCTCTACTTCAGCAACTACCTACAGATCGACGAGGAAGAATATGGTGGCACATGGGAGCTCACTAAAGAAGGGTTTATGACATCATTTGCCTTGTTCATGGTACGTGTAGCTGGTCATTTTCAACGCTTCTGTTCATTGTGTGAGAGGTCAGTCACTTGGAGCACAATAGATGACTTCTACTGCTGTTCTTGTCAGTGGCCTCTCAAGCAGGCTGTGGGATGCTGTAAGTCCTTCAAATCCAGGGCCTCCTGCCAGCTCCATGTTAGAAAAGGGGAAATTTTTAATTCGTGTTTATGGAGCTTAGTTTGGTTGCTCACAACTACAACCCCGTCAGGTGGATTATAAATTTTGAGTTCCTACTGGGCTACATAAAAAGAGATCCTGACCCCAAATGAAAGGAGAAAATAAAAAATGTAGATGTACGTATATAAATATATATATTTCTACTAGGAAAAAAACCAAACCACTCACATGGCTGTCATCTAAAGCGTAAAATGTTTTATATTCATCTAGTAAGATGTTGTTGCCATGGTACTACAGCATGGATAAACCTTGAAAACGTTATGCGAAGCGGAAGAACCTACACAGAAAAGGCTATGGTTCCGCTTAGTAAGATGTCCAGAACACGCAGGGCCACAGAGAATAAGTTAACCAGTAGCTGAAGGGAGAGAGGGGTGGGGAATAAGTCACCATGGGAACAGACCTTTTCTCTGGAGAGATGTTTTTGGACTAATGATAATTATCCTTTCTGAATATCCTAAAGACCTCAGAATTATGTACCAATTTCTGGTGGGTGTGGGGGGAGCTGAGTTGATCCAGGTGACAACTTGAACATTGCTATGTCTCCCCTAGGTCATTTGGATCATCTTTTACACTGCCATCCACTATGACTGATGGCCTTTGCTCCCAGCTCTTCTGTCCAGTCCAGAGGACCCTTTTATCACAGCAGATACATGCTTATTGGGACACTTCTACCACGTGGAACCAAGAAGACCCACATCTCCTGGACTTAGAATCAGCAAGTTGGGCATTGGTGTTTTCTGCAAGGGTTGTGAAACTTTTCAAAGAACCATCCACCTTTGGGAAAGCATTTCTGAATTTGTCCTTGGATACCATCATGTAACAGCTGTTTGCCAGGTGGAGCTGCTGTGTAATCTGATGCGTCTCTGGATCCAGATGAAACATTAAATTGTCTTCCTTGGTTCTCCGTCAGGTGTACAGTTTTTAAACCATCAGTGGCATCTCAGGTCTTCTGGAAACACCGTGTGCGTGGTCCACATAGCGCAGTACGAGCACCATCTAACAGTCTCCATTGTAGGATGTTTTCAGATACTTGAATAAACAAGTCTTTAACTGAAAGTGTGTTGGCATGTCTGGTAAACAAAGCCTTGCTTACTTACCTATCCACCTGTACCCTCAACCCAGCAGTCAGCGTAGCTCTCCCTGCTCCCATAGCAGCTTCAGTCAGGCTTGCTTTTTGGCCATGAGGGAAATGAGGGCTAGAGTTGGTAAAGGCTATTGCCTTGGTTTTGGCATTTCAGAGAGGATCTAACACCTGATGTCCCAACCCAGCAGCGAGAGAGCTCTAGAAGCCAGACGTGAACGCTGTCGTTTTGTGTTTGGCCACCAGATGGCAAGACTGGGGTGTGAGGAGGCCGTGATTGTGTTTGTATGAACACTGAATGAAGTAGAATCTGAGAGCTTGACTTAAAAGGACTTGACCTGAGATCATGGGAAGGTCTGGGTTCTCATTCTTGCTGTGATTGGGAGTTAGGTGGTAAGGCCAACAAGTGCTCTGCTTGTCTCTGCTTTCGGAGCCATCCCACCATCTGAAATGTGTTTGCATCTTGAGACTTGTGAATTTTCCTAATATTTTTTCTCTCCTTCATGCTAGTGGTGATCTCTGCTTTTAGTAGGGCTGGTTAGCACTCATGTTGACTATCCCTCTCAGGAACTGACTTATTAGACCTTATAAGTAATCTGTCTGTAGAGGCCTGGCCCTGCTTTGAACTGTGCTCCACATGGACTAGAAGTTGTAGTTGGGGGTCGGAGAAGATAAATGACTTCCTAGAATCCAGAGAGAAAGAAGCAGATGGTCCAGGTGTGGCCCTGAGTGTGCTTGGGCCCCACACCTAAGCCCTCTGCTTTCATAGCCTCTAGGAGCTGTGGGGCCAAGGTAGGAGTTCTAGGTGCCACAGCCTTGTTTCCCCTTTGGCTTTCTGCTTTCAGAATAGGCATCATCCAAGGAGTTCTCTTCAGTCAGGCTGATATAGGAACTGAGGGATTCTCGGAGCCCCTCGCTGAGAAGAGATGCCTCCCCAGGGGGAGGTGCTTCCAAAAACAGGAGGCTGCTGTGGATGGGGGAAAGCGGAGAAAGGAGTCACTTCCCCTGTGCTTGCTACAGGGTTCACTACTCTTAGACAAGCACTGTGTCATTCCTGCTGACAGACTTGGGCTCATTTTTTTGTTTGTTTGTTTTTTTTTTTTTTTGAAATTGTGTTTCTCTGTTTAGCCTTGGTGGTCCTGGAATGTAGACCAGGCTGGCCTCGACCTCAGAGATCCTGTAAGCCTCTGCCTCCCGAGTGCTGGGATTAAAGGCATGTGCCACCAATGGCATGTATTCCTCATTTCTTAACTGATCTTACTCCATCTTGACCTCCCTACTCGGTACTCTTGTTCACCAGCCTGCTCTATAACCTTCATCTCCCCCTGTGTGCCCTGAGGTCCGTGCCTCCCGTTTCCCTGATACTGCCCTGTCCTCAATACTGCCTAAGCCTGGGCTGGATTCTGGAAGGTGTCTCTTCATGTGACAGGCGCATTCTGGGTTGTGAGTTCATATTTTATTCTGCCTTTTGTGTTTCTGGGACTCCCTTACCTGTCCAGCTCTTTCCAATTGAGTGATGACATTGGCACGGTCATGGGTAGAGGTGTATCTTTGCCAGGTAGTGGGCCAAGCTTCTGCAGGACACAGGGCTCCCTGAGGACACAGCAGATGTCATCTGCCAGCTCTGTGGAAGAGATCCAAACCTGTGATATGGTACAAGCCCTTGCAGTTTTCTGTGCTTGGCACCTTGAGGACATGGTCAAGCTGACGGTCTCATGAAGGCTGAGGTATGGTGAAAGTTTAGTTGGGGCCAAGTTTGATACTTAGTTCAGTGTAAAACTGAGAAGGAAAGCAAGTAAAGAGTGGTTAGCCTGGCTCTGTCAGATTACTGTTTAGAACCACCTTGTAGAAACCCCACAGTCAACTTTCTCAAGAAGTCCCCCCTCCCCCCCCAAACAGAGCTTCTCTGTGTAGCCCTGGCTGTCCTCACTCTGTAGACCAGGCTGGCCTCAGAGATCCTACTGTCTCTGCCTTCCTAGTGCTGGGATTAAAGATGTGCACTGGCAAGGTTTCCCCTTTTGAGTCCTTGGCACTTGCTGGGTTATAGGACAGACCCCAGAATTGCTAAGGGTCACATTGCACCCTGGACCAGCACAGTGGTTCCCGTGGAGAGAACTCAGTTGCAGGCCACTTTGATTGCCGCTGAGATTCCAGCCAGGCTCACAGTTGGCCTGTAGTTAGTTCCTCTGTCGGCGTGGGATGGAGATAGCTCCCACCCACATGCCAGCACAGGTGCTGAACAAGGATAGATTGCCGTAGTACCTCTGCTGTCTCGATAGCCCCAGCATGTCAAGTGTCTAAAGTGCACAAGTGGCTACCTCCTCAGCCGCTCACTCAGTCTTCAGTGAAGGCAAAAAAAGGAAGCCATACCAGAGTAATGTTCCACCAGGGCCTGCAGTGAGGGGAAGGTAAGGCGGGGTGAGATGTACAGCCAGCCATTGTCAAGACGCTGTATCCTGTAGTGTCTGATCCGGTCCCAAGATGCAGGGCGGCTGAGTCGGATGGACAGGGTATAGCAGCCTGAGGAGGAAAGGGCAGGGCTGGGTCTGAGGCCCTGCTGAAGACCCAGCCCTGCCTAGGTTGGAAAAAGGAAAAAAAAATAATAGCTACAGCCCAGCCTTCAGGGGGATGTTGGGGTCAGAGGCAGGACAAAGAGTACTGGCTGTAACAGATAGGATTCTGTGGTCCCCAGGATGGGTGAGGTATAAGCAAGCATCAAATACCGGCTGTGTAGATAAAGACTCAGGTGGCAGAAGGGTTGGAATGTGAAAATGGTCAAGTAAAGGTCAGCATCGCCAGAAAGTCACTTTGGAAAGTTTGGCGCTAACAGTTGTGTTAACACCTTCAAAGCCAGCGGTCCCATCTCATACACGGGTAGAAAAGCGCCCAGCAGTGTTGCTCATAGATACCACTCTCACAAACAGCCTGTCAGAGCCCGACAGTTCAATAAAGCGTGGAGGCTGTGCTGTAGTTCAGTGCTAAGGAACTGGCCTGGCATGCAGACGGCTTTGTTTTAGGAAATCTCCGCTACCTCACACAAAGCAGACCAGTGCCTTACAGTGCTAATCACGTAGCAGAGAGTGCTGGTACATACTCGAAACCCCGGCACTCGGAAGGTTCAGGGCCCTCCCTCGGCTATGTGGTAAATATGAGGCCAATCTCAGCTGTGTGAGACTAGACCGTCTCCAAAAAACAAGTAAATGAATGAGCAGCCACAAGTCAGACTGTCCATTCAGCATGACTCAGCAAGTTCAAATACAGCCAAGGGTGGTGCAGGGGACCTTTGTTCAACAAGGATATGAAGAGGCAGCTGCTCAAGGCCAGCCTGGTCAGCACAGGTCTCGGCCAGGCAGGGCTGCATAGCGAGACTGTCTCCTAGCTAGAACAAAGACTTCAGCCAATCCCAAGGAACCGCTGCCCTCCCCCAGTTGTAAGACTTGTTTTCTAACAGGCTGTCTAGGTTTCAGTCTCACGTGGAGCCACCTTCTAGGGCAGCCCTCCCACCCGTGCCTACCAGCACTGTTGTTAAGGCACACCATCTGGCCACACAGGTCCTTTTCTTAATTTGTGTAGCCCTGCCTGTCCTGAACTTCTATAGCTAGCATGCAGGGGTTAGTGATTATTCTGATCTCAGCAGCTGTGAGCGTTCAGGTGGGGAAGGCGTTTCGCATGCAGCTAACACCAAGTTCTATCTGTACCCCGTCCTGTGGCCCTGTTGTTTGTAGTGGTTTGAATATGAATGGCTTCTGTAGTCTCATATTTGAATGCTTGGTCATTAGGGAGTGGCACTATTAGAAGATATGACCTTGTAAGGGTAGGTGTGCCCTTATTGGAGGAAGTGTGTCAGGGGGGTGGGCTTTGAGGTCTCAGATGCTATGACAGGCCCAGTGTCTATCTCCATGCTGTGCGCCAATCCAGATGTGGAACTCTCAGCTCCTTCTCCAGCACCACGTCTGCCTACCTGCCACCATGCTTCCCGCCATGATGATAATGGACTAGACCTCTTGACTTGTAATGAAATGTTTTCCTTATAAGAGTTGCCATGGTCACGGTGCCTGTTCACAACAATAGAACACTAAGACAACCTATGCAGAACATTCACTCACCTGCATGACACAGATGAAGGAATGTCTAAAGGAGGAAGTCTCCCGAGGGATGGTTCTGGTTTATTCTCCTGCCATCTTCCCATTTTCACAGCCAGCCTTCATCCATCACTAAGCCTCAAACTCTGGAGTCATGGACCTCTTCCTCTCACACTGTCTGGATTTGGAGCTGGAAGGCCTCCCCAAACCCCTGGAGTGAGCGCATGACTCCACTGCTGCAGTGACAGAGGGGAGGCCTTTGGGAAGTGGTGGGACCATGATGGCTCGGCTTTTCCCAGCCAGCTCTTCTGTTCCCTGGCTGCCACAAAGCAAGCAGCTTTCCTCCATCACATTCTCACACCATGAGGCACATTACCTTGCCTAAAAGCAACTGGGCCAGGTAGCTGTCAGCAGAAACCTCGGAAACTATGAGCCAAGATAAACCTTTTTTTCCCCTTTGAGTCCTGTTATTTTGCAACAACCACGGAAAGTTAGCTCGTCAGAAACTCCTACTACACCTGGAATCTGACCAGATCTCAACCAAAAGGAGTGCACGACTGCTTCCTATGTGGCTCCCACCTCAGCCTGTCACCTGCATCACAGTAGGTCACTCCTCTTTGGAGCCCTCCCTGTCACACCTATCTATCTGCCTGTCTATCTTTTTTGGTTGTTTGGGGTTTTTTGTTTGTTTTTGTTTTTTTGAGACAGGGTTCTGTGTAGCCCTGACTGTCCTGGAACTCACTCTGTAGACCAGGCTGGCCTCAAACTCATAGAGATCCACCTGCATCTGCCTCCTGAGCGCTGAGATTAAAAGTATGTGACCACCTCTGCCTAGCATCCCTGTCACATTTATAATCAAAGTCCTCACCTTTGAAAGGCTTTGCAGAATCTGACCTCTGTGTGGACCTGCTCCAATCCCACTGGCTCTGGGCTGAGAGGCCCTCTCAAGGCACATGCATACTGAGCCCACAGACACACCCTCACTTCTGCTTTCTGCTTTCCTTATGGCACTTGATGTCATGACTTCCTTACACATTTGTTCATTGTCTGCTTTGCCCTCAAGACTTCGGCTGGGACCTTGCCGTTTCTACCTGGGATCTGAGGGTCCTATTGGTTGCTTGGTTGGTTGTTTTGACAGAGGTTCATTATGGAGATGAATCCGGCCTTGAACTGTAATCCCCATACCTCTGCCTCCCAGTGCTGGGATTAGAGTGAACCGCTTGAAAACTCACTGTCCTTGCATTTCTTATAGAAAACATTGAACAATTGTCCTCTACTGGCCATGGGTCTAGGCCCTTCCAGGATCCTGACCTTTGCAGAGGGCAGAGTGCTGAGGTGCACACAGGCAGGCCTACCCCAGATATGAAGGAGCTGGGGGTGGGGGGTCAAGTTTGGGTCTATCCTTGTCAGACACGGCCCTCGCCTTCCTGCCCACCCAGGCAGACTCATCTCACTCATGTCTCCTGGGAACATCTACTGAGCCCCTGCTACAGTGCCAGACACCACCCAGGCCCAGACAGAGGTGTCAGAGAAGCAGATGTGCACTGTCTGCCAGCCCATCTCCTGACCAGGCTTGTCCTTGACGGTCCTCACTGGACAGTGAGCTCCTGTGTTCTCAGAGAGCACGGCTTGCAGATTTGTTACAAGCCAGTTCACTGCAGCCAGATGAAGATGTCAGTGGGAGTTCCAAAGAGTGAGAGCCTGGGGAGGTGACAACGGCTCCAACCAGAAGGATGGGTGGGTGCATATTTGCCCAAGGGAGAAATGAGAGGTGGGGCTTTCCAGGCTGTGGGAGGACCATGTGTCAGGAAGTAGAATGGGGAAAAAAGTGCTTTTAGAGTACTTGGTGAGCAGTGGAGGTAGAGGGCACAGAGAACCTAGAAGAGGACCTACCAGGGCAAAGGCAGGGTGGTTGGTCCTACGCTCTAGGATGCTCTAGTAGGCTTGAGCATTCCAGTGGCGCTGGGAGAAGGGAGGGATGCCCAAGGTATCCCCCTTGGGAAGTGCCTAGCAAACCACTCCTGCACTTCCTCCACCGAGGCCTCCCATGAGCAGATTTCTGGCCTCTGTCTCCAGTTGGTCTGTGGTGGCAAGAGCTGGCACTGTCACCAGGTCCAGAACTTCCCAATGACTCCTGTGTATTAAGATCTGAGACCTAGCCTTTAATTTCAGCACTCCAGAGGCAGAGGCGGGTGGATCTCTGTGAGTTCAAGGCCAGCCTGTCTAGAAAGAAAGTTCCAGGACAGCTGAGGCTGTTACATAGAGAAACCTTGTCTCAGAAAACAAAACAACAACAACAAAAAATTTGTGAGAACCGGCACTCTATGACATCACTCAGGATTCTGGAACTTAGTGTTGTTTTTCGGCCCACAAACCACAGAATAGACGTGCACACTGTCATCTAGGACATGTTGAAGGATCTGAAGCAGGTCTGCCTCCCCAGCACTCCCCACTCCAGCACACACTGGGGATTCTTGCTCTACTTCACTGCAAACATGCCTTGTCCAGTGAGGAGCCTCACTTGAAGGCACTTCTTCAGATTCCAGGTCCCAGGACATATCCCTGAGCAGTTAAACCAGCTCAAGCTTGGTGTGCAGGCATCCAAGTGATAAGCCTCTCCCAGGGGACTCCAGTGTACAGCTAAGAGCTAGTTCTCAAAGTGAGCTCCCCAGGCCAGCAGTGTGAGAGGAGCATGTTCAGCCCTCCTCAGACTCAGTCAGCATGCTGGGTGTGCAGCAGTCCTGCTGGCCATTCTGTGGCATGCCTGGATAGAGACCCTCAGATCTATGAGTGATGCACTAAAGTGATCTCTTTGCCCACACTAGGTAGGTATGCCCTTCAGCTTTAGCAGTGCTGTTGAAAGGAAGCCCTAAAGAAAGGTTGCAGTCAGTGCCTGGAAGACAGCCATTCTAAAAAGTCAGCATGGGAAGTCTTGGTTTGCTTTGTATGTGTAAGCTAGCAAACTTCAGGCATCCTCCTGTCCTGCCTTCCCAGCACTAAGATTACAAGCACACACCACCCACCGTGCCAGGCTTTTTTACATGGGTGCTGGGGCTCAAACTCAGGTCCACACCCTTGCAAAGCAAACGCTGTCTGGACCGAGGCATTTCCCAGGCCCCTCCACCTTTTATTATTTTATTTTGCACCTGGGGACCTTACTCTGTACCTCCCGCTAAGCCTGGACTCGCTACTAGCCAAAGCTGGTCTTGAATTCTCTGTGTTCTTCCTCCCTCTCCAGAATGTTGGAATTTCACCACTCCCAGCTTTCTCTATTGGGACAGGGACTCCAGAACATGCATGCCTTTAACTCTCTACATAGCTGAATATGACTCTGAACTCTTGATCTTCTGGGCTCTACCTCCAGAGCTGGGTTACTAGCATGCACCTCTATGCTCTAACTCGGGTTTTCTCTCTCTGACTGACTACCCCCTGCCCAGGTGCTGGCAATAGGGATGCTGATCCCAGCATTTCTGAGCAGGTCTCCTTGAAGATCTTTACGGATCCCTCGTGGCTCCTCCTTTACCACCCCATGAATTTCCCTTGTTTATGCTCCTTCTTGATCAAGGGGTGGTCACTCTACTCTTGGGGCTGCACCAGGCCAGAGGTAGCGTGGGGTGGGTGGCTGAGCACTGCGTACTTCCTGTGGCTTTTCTAGCTCACAGTTGGTAGGTACGCAGGGTTCCAGTCCCAGTCCCCAACACCACTGAGGTTTCCTGTTTGCAGCTGCTGCACTGGGGCCGGCTGCCCCTCCCCCCGCCACCTGCAGCCAGCCAATGGGTGTGTATGAGGGTGAGGGGTTATTTCTTGGAAATTAGCAAGGGGGGCTGGAGAAGGGTAATCCAGGAAGCCCCTGGGGGAAGTGCTTGCAGGGTAGAGGTAGAGAACAAGGACCCTGACAGCCCGTCTCAGGAAGCTCAGTTAGGGCAGACCCCCTGCTGCCTGCACTCTGGAGTTTCTCCTCTCTAGGCTCACTAGCAAACTGCATGTTACTGACCCTTGGCTTGCAGTGAGCATCCGCCAAGAGATCATAGCATGTGCTGTGAAGGAGGGTCACTACTGCTGCTCAGAGTAAATCCCAGTTGCCAAAATATAGACTAAGCTTGGATCCCGCTGTGTGGATTCACCCCCGCTTTTCTCTATTGTCAAAGGAGCCTCATGGAAACACTGCGGCTCAGCTCCAAGCCTAGGCAGCCACTCTATGAAGTCTCCCCAGATTGCTCCAGGGAAACTGTTTTTCCTTTGCCCTCATAGTCTGGCTCCACCTCAGGGCCTTTTACAGTCAGGCCTGGCTGGATTCAAGAAACCTCTGCTGGCTGTCTGGGATAGCAACAGCCTTTTCTCCTTGGCCTCCTGCCCTGAGCCCCGATCTAGAGAGGCACAGTAAGGGCTGAGCTTACCCACCTCTCCTGGTCTGGCTGTCTCTGATGAGGAAGGCCCCTCCGGGATTCCCAGGCAACAGGAGTAGCTCCTCAGCTTTCTCCCGGCTCAGGCCCTCAAACAGCCACCTGGAGGAGCAAAGAGGGATGGGGTAGGCTTGTGGGTTTTAATGGAATCCTTCCACACCTCTGTATGACCTTGCTGAGATCTCCCTTCCCTTGCCCACTAGGCCTAGAAGTTCTGTACCATGAAGAGCAGGCCGCAGAGGTTCAGGGGTCCTCTCAGGGCCCTGCTTTGGGGAGCAGCCTTATGAAGGCAGCCTTAGGCCTTCTTTGCCTAAGACTTGGTTCCCAGGTGTCCTGGGTGGGGCACTATGAGGCTACCAGCCTCTGTCCTGTCACGGCCCAGTGCTCCAGCTCCACTGTTGATCCACTCACCTCTGCAAGAAGTGCCCCTAGTCTTTCCATTTCAGGATGTCCTTAGAGATTGCCTGTGTCCTATGCATCCCCTTCAGTGTCCTCTACGCTTGATCGTAGCCACCCCCCAAAGCCCCACACCACAACACCTCCTCTGTGGGGCCTTCTCTGGGCTCCCAAGTCTCATGAGCCAGGCTGAACAAGACATGACAGTTGCCTGCAGCTCTGGAAGGCAACTGCCCAGGCTCTGCATAAAGAGGACACTGTGGAGAGAGTGTAGGAAGGTCCCCAACGGAGGCCTGAGCCAGGTTCTCACCTGTGGGAGACTTTAGCCACATGCACACTGGGGATGTGATACTCTCTGCCAGAGACTTCCGACAGCACTGTCCACCAGTCTCCATCCCTGTGGAGAGATCACAGCGGGCACCACCTTCATGTGGAGTTTGCAAAGGACTTGCAGCACCTTGTCTACTTATTTCCCAGAATTCCCTACACCAGGCTCCTCCTTGGAGGGTGGCAAATGACCCAAGGCTTCCTGTTCCAAGGCCTGAGCCCACTGCCTCTCTCCCTGCGGATGTGTCAGGCTGCCAGAAAACCACCCAGAGACATGGGGGCTTTCCAAGAGTGGCCCTGTGCCTCCCTGCTGGTAGTGGAAGGGCCCCTTTTCCCGTAGTGTGACCTCAGGGGCCCAGTGTTGTAGACTTACTCAGAGATGATGGTCAGTGGCTCCCCGAGTCTCAGAGATAGCCCAGCCTGCTCACCCGCCGGGAAGCTGCCCAGGGCCACAGCTGTGACCTTGTTTCTCTCTAGATAGAGGGATAGACACACTTACCCTCTTGGTCAATGTTCTCTCAAGATGGGAGGTCTAGTTGACAAGAAGAGTCTTTGTCTGGCTCAACTCACTCACCCCTCCCACAGGTACCCCACAAGGGGAGCAACCCCAGAGTCTGAAATGCTTCCAAGTAGGCTCTACTGAGCTTGGGAGAGCCAGATAGCTTTGGGGATTCCCATGAAGGCCTTCAGCTCATGTGGCTAGCGCACCCGGTTCCTGGCCATCTCCCTGTGTGTCTTCTACAGAGAGTTTGACAAAGGGATTCTACAGCTGGGAAACTGAAAACCTACAGCCCAGGGGCAAGGGATACTGGTTAATAGAGCAGCACTTGCCTCAAATGTGCAAGGCCTTGGGTTCCATCCCTAGCATCATGGCAAAACAAGACAAAACAAACAAACAAACAAAAACCCACCAAGTCTAGAAGCCCTTATCAACATGGATCTGAGTTGGCTTCTGAAGTGTAGTGGTGAGACCACACAGCAGCTCTGAGGGCACAGTGTTGGGGGGTGATAGGGAGGAGGGGGAGAAGGACTTCAGGAAGGCTAAAAGCTCAGCCCGGGGCCCCAGGAATGAGGGCGTTTGCCAACACCAGCACTGACATGTGCTGTCAGGAGACAAAAAGCAGGGTCTTGGAGGGAAGAATAACCTCCCTTTCCAGGATAGGGTTCTTTCCCACACAGCTGACTCTGGTTTCCTCGTTGGTCCTATGTCAGGCCCCTGGAGGAACGTCCATGTGAATAGACTCCAACCCTCTGGAGCACTTTGCACAGGCACAGGCTAGATTCCCAATGGCCTACGTCCAGGGCAGTGAGTGAAGGTTCGTGCTGCCCCTGACAAGTGCCACCAGAAGCTGCTATGGCAGGCCTGACCAGGGCCAGTGCCCATGGGAGCCTGTGCAAGGGTCCTGCTAACCCTAACTGTGTCCTGCACATCATGGCATCCTGAGGCCTTCCTCCATCATTTCGCTTCTTACTGGGCACTTGCCACTGCCCTGACGTTGGTGTGTCTAGTCATCTCCACTGTGCAGAAAGGTCTCAAGACCCAAGTACAGGACTCAGCAAGAAAGGCATAATTTCAACCCCATACCACCCTGATCACAGGCCTAGGTTGGGGAGGAGGGGAGCATGAGGGCTGGTTGATAGCTGTACCTCTCAGGAAGGGCCCCAGCTTCCTGGGAGGTGAAGGTTCCAATGGAGGAGTGATTGGCCTGGTCATGGAACCAGAGGGAAGCTAAGGCACCACTCACCCTAGTAATGGTCAAGAGGACTTAGTGGACATGAAGTCCAATTTGGAGGCTGGGCATCAGGTAGCAGGCAGAAGACAGCCAGCCCACTCAGCCTAACAATCTGTCCCTAAGCCCGCAAGGCTAGCAAGTGTCTGTACAAAGCTAACTCGCCTGCCTCACCTCTCTTTCCTTCCTCCTGTCCTTTCTCAGTAAGGGTTCCCAGAGGAGACACACGAGTGCAGGGTGCCAGGAAAAGTTGTGAAGGTCAACAGGAAGGGTTCTTCGTCTCCAAGGATCTCTCAAAGTACCAAGGTCCCACAGGACTCTGAGATGCTCTCTAAAGGGAGCTGAGACCCAGGAGTGAGGGAGGGAGAGCAGACCAGACAGACATAAAAGGATCCAGGAGACGGGTGGCCAAGGAAGGGTCTCTTCAGTAGGTGGGAATGAACACACTCCACCATCACCACCCGGTCTTCCCTCTTAAAAGGTTAGCAGAAACCCCTGCAGCAGGGAGCTCCTCAGGCCCCGAGATCTTGCCTGCCCAGAGCCTGGTGTCTCTGTAGCCAAGAACACCTGATACCTCCTGTGGAGGCAGGATCCTTGCCCTCCTGAAAGCTCTGGCCTTGCCTGCCTAGCGGGAGAGTCTCCTGCTGGCCAGTGGCCAAACTTAGGCTGCTCTGCCCTGCCTCTCTGCACGCTTTCATCCCTGCCACGCTCTGCCACCAAACCTAACACAACCATCACTCATAAAGGCTTAGTTTCTGTCTCTGGGACAGCTTGTCCATTGTTGTGTCCTCTTGGTACCCAGCAGAACCTCAATAACTTTAAGATGGAGGTAGGCCGGGGGTGGGAGTTGGGGGGCACAAATGGCTCCTAGACCAAGATAGTCAAAACTCATATTCCTCTTGGGACAAGGTAGCTCCATTGAGAGATGTCCTCCTTTCCTTGGAGACCGGATGGAGGGGAAAAAAGGTCCCCTCCAGGTCCTCCTGCCAGGGGTGGTCACCACCCTCAGAAGCACCAGGATGAGTCAGCAGCCTGCTACCTGCAGCTAGCTCAGTGGAAAAGGGGGCGGTCAGTGTGGTTTACAGGTCTCTTCCTGCAGGCCTCTCACTGCAGATGAGGAGGCTCCAAGGGCTCTGAAGGGGCCCAGAGTATCACAGCCCTGCGGAGGCTACTACGAGGGAGGTAAGAGGCCTTGTGAAAAGCAGGAAAAGAAACCCTACCACCTTTAGGGGTCTGGGGGCTGAGGACCAACTGTTTCTGACCGAACCCAGATGCCTAGATATCTTGCTGTTCAGTCTCTGGTACAGGTTATTCACTGTCCCCCACGCCCCTCCTAACAGTGCTGCTGGGGCTGGATGATCTTATCAGCTGTGGTAGTTAACTCTCTGGACCACCATGGTGTCCACAGAGCATTTAGATAGTGTCTGGTCAAAGCACTCTGGCTATTTCTGAGAAGAGAGTTTCCAAACAAGACAATCCCACCCCCATCATGAAATCAGAGAGAGGCTCTTCCAGGGTCTTCTAAGTAAAAGCAGCATAGGTTTGTATTACTGCAGCTAGCGTGATGCCCAGATTTAAGACTCTAACACTGAGTTCTACCCCCAGCCCCTCACAGTTAATGTTCTTACGACTACTGCAAGCTCAGCAGTTGCCAGGATCCTGTGTTGCTCACTCGGAAGGGTAGCCATGGCTTTAATTGAAGTTTGGAGTTGTTGGCCCAAGACCCAGAGGTAGTGAGGTCTGGGTTTATATAGTCTCATAATGCCTGGGAAGCATCTAGTGGCCCCACAGTCAAGACCTACCTGCTTGTGTAGATACAGGTCCCTGGCCTGGACCAGAGGAAATGGAGCTGGAGCTTGGGCTGCACAGGCTTTTCCTTCTGCTGGGTAAGCTTCCCATCATTCTTCAGCAGATTGGCAGAAACATACCATTGAAAGAAACCTGAAAAAGGTGCTGTTGTGTGGACAGAGCCTATGATCTCAGCTTGGACCCAGATACTTGGCTGTCACTGGGAAATGGCTTGATAGGTTCATCAGAGCCAAGAAAAAGGCACCACAAAAAGGAAGTACCTCAACAGTTTCTCAGGGCCTTACAAGTCATCACTATGTTTGACTGACAAGGAATTTAGGCTGAGACTGTGGGCAAGTTGGAGGTGATTTTCTCTGTATCCCATCCTTCCTAAGCTTGCTCCATTCATGTCTTCTGGGCCTTTTCTTGTGTCCCCTCTGGTGGGTTGGCCTGCCTTTTCCATTCCCATTGGATATCTGTTTGGGCACCACTCTTTCTCAGGAAACTTTCTAGCAGTCTTCAGCCTTTGCTGTCCTCCTTTGAATTCCTGTAGCCTGAGGAACCATCCCTTAGGTCTGGGGTCACATTCTGTTAGTTGGTGGCAGGGCTGGTCAAAAGACACTGAAATCTCTGCAGGCATGTCAGGGGCCACGGCTAGGGTTAGAGATGGGCCAAGGGGGAAGCAAGAGGCTTGGGATAGGAGTCATAAGCAGAAGGACACTGAATACAGTTACCAGTGCCAGAGCACAGGGTAAGATTGTTGGGAGTCTACGTCAGTCTATGTGGCTTGCAAGGCTCTGAGGGACTGACCTGTCACTTCCCTTCTTGGTGCCCTTTTTCCTCATCTGAGGAGTGGGGATAACCACAGCAGACATTTGGGTCTGGTGGATAATGGCCTGTATAGCCAGCTCTGGGACCACACTTCCTTCCTGTTCTTGAACATTCTCTGTTACAAATTCCTTTAGGAACCCTTCCTTTTTACTTATTCTGCTGTGTTCCTTAGAGGTTTTTTTTCTTTTTTCTTTCTTTTTTTTTTTTTTTTTTGTTTTTTGTTTTTTGTTTTTTTGTTTTTTTGTTTTTTTGTTTTCCTGAGATGATGAACTGAGGACTATGTTCCCTAGGCTGTCCTCAGATACTCAGGCTCAGGTGATCCTCCTGCTTCATAGCCCTCTAACTGCCACCAGGCTCGTTCAATCTGCCATTACCCTACAGTCCCATGCCTTGTCCTCAGCATTCAGTGAGGCCAGCAGTACTCGGCACACATCCGAAGAGTGAACTGAAGGGAGCATACTGTTTTGCATAGTGTCTTGTCCTCAGACTAAGCAAATCCTTCATTTCTAGAGAAATGCTGATTTTCCCAACACTGTGTTAAGTTTTCAGTGTTTGTTTCATCTGTTATTACCGCACAATCCTGTGTTCCTGTTCTCAACATTGAGTGAGGCTCAAGAAAGGCCCTAAAGGCCCTATATCGAAACAGTGTATTGGAAAAGCATTTTCCAACACTATGTTAAGTGTTTCAGTGACGGGAGCTATGTCTTCTACTTCTTTTCAGATGGTCTCATTGCGTTCAGTAGGACAAGATGTAATTTCACCTGTTTGGTTCCTTTCAGCTGGTCAGGCACTGCCAAGGGTTCACAGTTGGAAGGGCCAGGTCACAGCATGGTGTGAGGATACAGGGGGGTAACCTTCCTTGCCCTCGGCCACATGCTGCCTGGAGGAGGGTGGAGTCCAGCAATGCCATGGGATGGCATCCATGACCTGGAATAGTTACCAATGAGTGGAGACCCGGCCTTGCTGGGACGACAGCTCCTCTGTGCCAAGCCCCCTGAGCACTTGTCTTGCAGCCCCATGGCATCATCTGGAGGAACAGCATCTGTTCTGCTGCCTCTGTGCAGGAGCTCAGTGTCCACAGCACAGAGTTTGGGAACACCAAGTAGGCTGGTGCCCCAGGGTTGGCCCCGGACAGCCCCTTCCTCTCAGACTTTGGGGATTGGCAGCCTTGGTGAGGGCGGTGGTGGTGCTGCCCGCTGAGGGCTGGGATCTGCTCACTGCCAGGGCAATTCTTCCATTTCAGCTGGCCATGAGTATGAGGTTCAGGCTAAGCGCTTGGCTTTATGCTTGCCATGGGTAGCATGGGGGACTAACTCAGACCAGCTGTGTGACCTCAGGCAAAGCATGCAGCTTGCACTATCTCCTGTGATGATGGATGCTAACACTAACCTCACAGGGCTGAAGGGATTGGAGGTGAGTAACTTCCTTGCTCTAGTTCAGCAAGCCCTCCAGGACTCTTGGGCCATAAGGGAGCTGATCTTTGCTGGGCACCTCTCCAGGACTCTGCAACTTTGTCTTCCTGGTCTGACCAAGACATGTTAACTACTGGTGAAGAGGCCCAGGCAGCGGCAGTGTGGCCGAGGAGAAACGGGTGCAGGCCACATTTGTAGAAGAGATCAGATCATTTGGCGCACTTCAGAGCAACACAGCATGTCTGTGGTGTCCTGGTGAGTGGGTGGGCAGAGTGTGGGCAAGAGGCAGCAGAAACTGCACAGTGCCCAGGCTGCCTTGCCTCTCTCTAATCCCATTTTCATTGTAATGGCCCAAGTCTAGAGGATGCAATGATCTCCTGTGGAGGATGGCTGCCTGCTGCTCAGGCAGCAGGTTAGATAGTGCAGGGCTAGGATGGCTGTTCTCTCTTTCTCTCAGGATTTTGTGGGTTTGGTTTTGTATCTGGGAATTGAGCTCAGGGGCTGAGTGATCCCTACCCCTGTCTCACTCCTTTTCAAGTCCCTTCTCACCCTGTGAAAGCAACTGAGACGCTGCAGGTGACTGTCTTTTAGAGAGTAATCTAGAGTATTTTCCTTCAGTGACCGGTAAGACTATGACCCAGGAGAGGCTAAGAGTCCACCTGGAAAGTGAGCATCTCAGAAGAGACCAGCAGAGGCCCCTGAGATCTTGGAAAACTGCAAGTCTCCAGGAGGCAGTCAAAGGAGAGAGCCTACTCCCCTCTGTGTGTCTGGAGAATCCTACAGACTTCCTCATACAGCTAGCTACCAGTCGTCTCTCCTGGAGCCTGATGACAAAGCTCACTCCCAGTCTTAGAGGGGAACGTCCTTTCTCCCAAGTCCACCAGAAAACAAAGCAAGTGTACTTACAGGTTTGACATCAGAAGTTTGGTGAGGGTGGTCAGCCAGTGGGCACGCTTGCCCGACAGGTCAGGCCTTTGCAGGTCCTAAGATAATCGGCATCTTAGGCACTAGAACCTTTGCTGTCAGTCTGGAGGATCACCAGGGGCGGTGAGAGTAGGTTGAGGTAATCAAGCTTCTTTGTTAATGGACAGCAGTCTCCATGAAACTGGTACAGGAGCCCTTTGCTTCTCGAGGAGACTAGACCGGGTATTCCTATCCAGCACAGCAGGGCCAGAGAGTGAGGCCTGCTGATTTGAGCCCCTTTGCAGACACAGGTGTCACTCCTCAGAGCGCCAGCTCCCAGCTGCAGACTCTGTGGTTCTCACAACCCCACGGCCTCCCTGCCTGTTTCCTCTGACAGTATCACAGACCATGCGGGCGCCACCTTGCCCCCTTCCTGTTTCTAGGGAGCAGCTGCTCTTGTCCCATGCCTCATGCTGGAGGTTCTTCTTGGCTCTTTGGTTCCATCTGGTCCAAGGAATAAAGAATGGGGAGGAATACACAGGAGTTTCCCGTGCAGGCCTGGCTATAGCAATCACCAGAGCACTCAATCGTAGCACTAATGGAGTCCAAATAGTCTGAGGGATCTAGGCATAGGGATCACCTGGGGTCTTAAATTGTAGACTGCAGTGGGGCTCGTTTCCAGGCCAGTGCGGTGGCTTAGTGGGTGACGATGCTTGCCACCAAGCCTGATGACCCCAGTTCAATCCCCAGGACCCAGTGGTGGAAAGAGAGAACTGGCTACTGAAACTTGTGTTCTGTTTTTGGCCTTCCCACCCTGAACACACCCGATTCCATCTGAAAGTTGCCTTTTGACCTCCACTCAAGCACATCAGTACATGATGTATTTTAAAAAAATAAGATTTCTAACAAGCTTACAGCAATGCCCGTGTTGTTGGTGTGGGAACTCCTTTTTGAAAGTTCAGCTTTGGGGCTGAGGTGTAGTTAGTAGCAGACATGTGCTTGTCATGTCCTAGGCTGTGGGTTCGATCCCAAGCACTTGAAAGAAACTCCAGCATGGTCCTCAAAGTATGGTTCACTGTATCAGCCGGGAGGTCTTTAGGTGTGCAGGAGTACCTCAGACTCAGGAAGCCAGAAAGACCCCAGGAGAGCTTGGTGTTCCCAGTTTGCGATTATTTCAGTATTTCAGATTCTTATGCTCAAGCTGGAAACTCACAGGTGTCCTATCCAGAACTAACAATTACCTTAATTGCGTCCGCTATCAATGAGCACACCTGCCTACTGTGCCCTCCTCAGTGGCCGTTCTTTAACACGAGGACCCGCCGTGCTCCAACGCTAGGCTGAGCTCAGGACTCAGCCTTCTCTGGGGACTCTGTCTTCTCTTGCTCCTGAGGAGGCTGGCTGGTTCTTCCCCATCGTGGTCACTCAGCACGCAGGGAAGAAGGGCCTGCAGAAGCACATTGTGTGAGAAGGTTAACAGGTTTAAGGTTGTTGGAGGAAGTTAGTGTGGACTCCCCCTCCAAGTCCAGTCTCCAGACAATCCGATGCCCACCAGACTGAGGGGTATGAGGAACAGTGAAGGTTACAGAGACCCTGACGAGGCCTTTTCTTTTTTCCTCTTTTTCTGTATTTATTTCCATGCTTATGTATATGTTCATGGGGGGGCATACATGCTATGTGGTGGTTAGAACCACGCTGCTCCCTTTTCTGGGACTGAGGGACGGAGAACCTCTCTCCATCCAGACCTGGGAGGTGCTTCCTGCAGGTACGTGGGTGTCTGCTAAGTGGTGGCAGCTGCTACAGGGACAGCACTTGCGCTCTGCAGAGTGGAGCCTGGTGTTTTGCGTCCATCTTCCTTGGCTAATCTAGAGCTTAGGACAGATCTTTGGAGAAAACTCCACAGTGTACCAGACATCATTCATGGGCTTCAGCTCCTCCCCTCTGACTTATACAACATGTGTGAATCCACGTGGATGGGGGGGTGGGGACCTGCCTCCCTGCCTGCCTCTCTGTGTAACAGGTAGCCCTTCTGCTGGTCTCAGCCAATCAGTGGCCCACACAGGAACTGCAGTCTCCCACCTGCTCTCTCCTGAAATCACTCTGCAAACAGCGTTGTCCAAGTGGAACCAAAACTCAATCTTGTGGCCACCAGATATCTGCTCTGTGTCTTTCCCTTAAAAATGCCACTGAGATGTAACTAAAAAGAAAAAAATAATAAAAAAAAAGAAAAATCAGACAAAAAAAATGCCACTGAGAATGCAAACAAGTCCCTTTGCAGAAGCACTATAAGAAAGCATGTCTAAAATCACAGAACTATGCACACAGACACAGACACGCGTGCTCGCACACACATGGAGTTGGGAATCAATCTCATATTTGAGGGAGCACAGGGAAAGGCTGGCGAGAGAAGATATGGAGATCAGATGAGACCAAGATGCTGGAGTATGGGACCGGTGGGATGGCTCAGTGGATAAAGTCACTTGCTTTGAAACCTGACCACCTGAGTTCAGTCCCAGGGGCAGAAGGAGAACCAGTTCAGGAATGTTGTTCTCTTACCTCCATCCATGGACACACACTCATATACACTCAATAAGTAAATGTGAAACCAATTTAAAAACACATTGAAATGTTACAGTAATGGCATGGGTATGGTTCTCAGCACACATGAAAGGGGTTATGGGGAGAGGATGATAAATCCAGGCTACTAGAGAAAGGTTCTGTGGCCATGCATGAATGAAAGAAAGTGGAGGCCAGTTGATGGGATGAAATGTTCTGTTATGGAGTGTCATCTAAAGGAGGGGCTTTAGAGGACCCGTCTGCTCAGCAGGACACTTCCATGGCCTGGTGTCTGTTCAGGAAATTAGGGGCCTTCCCGGCTTCTTGATCCCCATCCAAGTGATTGCTGGTCACAGTCTGGCTGAAAAAATTTTTTTCAGTTACTGGGGGCTGAGTGGGTTTGTGATTGGGCGAGCCGGGTCATGCTGGCCGATGGTACTGTAACAAAGAACCAAGAGATTAGAGGGGAGCCTGGTGAAGCTCAGATAATCTACAAGCTGCAGCAAAAACTACCTTTCCCAGCCCATGATGATGCCCAGGATGACATAAGAGGTACCCCACTTGGCACTATTTGCTCTAGGTGAGGGACTGTATGCAAGGCTGCTTTGATCCTCTGCATCTGGATTCTCCCCAGATTCCACTTCAGAGTAGGGAAACCCTATGGGCAGAGTAAAGCTTCTTAGCTGTGCCCATGCCATTCAGACAGTGATTAGGAAGGTGGCTTTGGGAACACATACTGGTCACCAAAACCTGCAGTGCATGCAAGACTAGACCAAAGGAAGAACAACAAACCACACAAGTAGGGAGTGTTTTACAGAGAGTGTAGGTCCAGTACAGTGAGATGGCCAACCGTTCCCAGGGGCTGCCTGGCAAAGGTAAGTGTGGGCGAGAGTCCACCATCTCATTCATGCACAGACGACTGTTCCACAGCCTGTGTGCTTTCCACTTTAAGGCTGATTAGTTGATGGGCCTGCGAACTAAGGACTCTCAGATGTCAAACTTACCCCATCACCTGTAAACAGAAAGCACATGGTACTCACTGTAGCCCATTCCCTGCAAAAAGTACTTGAAGGCCTCGGTGAACTTCCCAGGCTGGGGGGACAAAACAAGAAGGCACCAGTCAGCTGGGTGCAGAGGCACACACCTTTAATCCCAGCACTGGAGAGGCTGAGGCAAGCGGATCTCTGTGCCTCGTCTGCATAGTGAGGTCTTGGCTGGCCAGGGCTACATAGTAAGAGCCTGTCTCAAAATAAACAAATAAGTAAATAACTAAATAGATAGATAGATAGATAGATAGATAGATAGATAGATAGATAGATAAAACAACTGTCATTTTTTTAAAGGCATTCACTTTTGCATAGGTAGAAAGGTAGCAATGAGTGTATGTGTGATTACTACTTGAACACTTTCTTACCTGAACTACTTGGGGCAGTCCTCCACAGTCTGCCATCTAGAAGAGGAAGAACACTAAGTCAGCAGGACCTCCACAGAGGGGAATGCTCTTAACATCCCCCTTTCACAGGGGCGACTTGACAATTTTATACATATAGTTTTCAGACAAGATCTTTCCATATAGTCCTGGCTATCATGGAACTCTCTATGTAGACCAGGCTGGCTTTAAACTCACAGAGATCCTCCTGCCTTTGTCTTCTGAGTGCTGGCATTAAAGATATGTACCACTATGGCTCACTTAGACTTGTCTTTATTTAGAGGGATATGAATCCCATGGTTTCATTGCTAGAATTAAAACTTTATTTAAAAGGGAACTATTATTTAAGATATGGAACGCCACAAAGCGCCTAGCAGTTTGAGGCTGGGGCTGTGCGTGGTTGATTAAGTGCCTGCTGTGCAAATGTAAAGACTGGAGTTCAGATCCCCAGCAGCACCTTAGTGATGCTTGTCTGTCACCCTATGTTGGGAAACGAGGCAGAGAGGCATGACTCGTTTGTCAGCCTAGCTGAGTCTATGAGAGACCTAGTCTCAGGGCTGCAGAGATGGTTCAGTGATTATGAGCACTTAATCCTCTTGCAGAGGACCCAGGTTCATTTCCTGGCACGCATATGATGGCTCAAAACCATCGGACTCCAGTGTCAGGGGATCTGATGCCTCTTCTGATCTCCACAAGCTCCTGCTTATATGTGGTTCACATAAAGAAAACCTCTCATACATACATATATATGTACATACACACACAAAGTAAATATTAAAAAGAAGAAGGCCCTATCTCAAAATGCAAGGTGGAGAGGCAGGCATGGTATCACACACTTTTAATCACTGTGCCTGGCAGAGGCAGGTGGATCTCTGTGCTCATGTTGAAGACCAACCACCCTGGTCTATGTAGTGAGGCTCATAGCTAAGGCTCCATAGTGTGACCCAGTCTCAAAACAAACAAAATGAAATAGAGATTGACCAAGGATGACACCAGTGTTGGTCTCTGGCCCCCACACATTTGCATATACATGTCCAGGCATGTTTGTATACACACACAGACACAAACATAGAATACATATTCCTCTCCCCCCACATACAC